TTGGGCCCCTGTAGGACTTGTGTGTCATATTGCAAAAAGCAGTAGTGATCGCCGAACCTAGTCAGACTTTCTGCATTAGCGAGTTGCGGAGGTTTTGGAGTTGACACAAGATCCGCAGCCAAAGACGGGCCAAACGGAGTTGGATCATCTGAGACACCTGGGGAAATGCGGCAGTGGATCGTGTCTGATTCAGGCACTTACAGCGGGGTGGAGCCGGGGTGGAGCCGGAGAGATGGAGCGATGGAGCGATGGGGCGAGATGGAGCAAGAGTGGAGACTGGCGGAGAAGGCGGAGAAGGCGGAGAGCGGAAGAGGCGGAGAAGGCGGATGCGGGATGCCGATCAATGGGTCTTTCACCGCCACAACGACTCGGTCGACGCAACGCCCCTGTCTGTCAGTATCGCCGCCACAAACACGGTCTCACGCCAGGGTCCAAGTGACACCCTGCACAACTCTGCAGCCTGTCATTTCTCTCAGGTGTCATTTCTCTCAGGTGTCATTTCTCTGTGGTGTCATCAGTCAAGGAGCGGTGGTGGTGAAGAGAGTAGAATGTGGTATGAATAGGGAGTGGTAAGTACCTTACGTCCGACCATTCAAGTGCCCATAATCTGCTCTGACTACACAAAAGGAAATGCTCAGTCCAACCTCTTAGGATCACGTGTTCGCCATCCCCTTCGCCATCCCCTTTGCCACACTCGCCTAGTCTACAACGACATTGTTCTGACGACGAGTACGACGATCATTGTCCCCCACAATACTCGTCTTGGCATCTTGGCGGGATATTATTGCCTTTGGGGGAGTGGTGGTAGTGAAAAATGCAGGGAGAATGGCCAGTTTCTACAAGAGGTTTTTTAGCGAGTACAAGTGCGACATTTCTAGAGGGTACGGCATTTCCACTTGGGTTGACTCGCGCCGTCATCGGGCAGAACTTCTCGTCGACTCTGACTCGCACCATACTCTCGTTGACTCTTACTCGCACTTCACTCTCGTTGGCCGTTGAAAGGTCTCGGCACAAATGGTCTCGGCGCCGATCCAGTCTGTACCAGGCTATAGTTGCTCGTTTCCCCACAAAACATCACCTCCTTTTCGTTTGCCTTTGATCTCGGCTAATCTTGTCGTGCTGCGTGAGTACCTGTCCGAGTACTGTTTCGTGCTGTTTGGTTCTCCCTCAACCAGCTTTGCTGTTGAACAGTGCTTGTTGGACGATGCGGTGCGGTGATGGTGGTGCGGTGCGGTGCGGTGACTCTGGCGGTGATTCTGGCGGTGATTCTGGCGGTGATTCTGGCGGTGATACTGTTGTGGTTTGGTGGAGCTACTATAGTTTGCATATTTGTATGTTTTGTTTTCAGCCCAACTAAATCTAAACAACTGCTGGTCCACTCACTGAAAACTGCTCCAACAAAAACCACCGCAACCAAGAATACGCCCCATGACCTCTCGGTCGTTTGCCCCAGTCACCACTCACACTCACATCCACAACCACCTGCTCAACTTTTCGTTTTGGCTGCCACTTTTCGAACCTTTTTTCCCAAATACTCATGCAGCTCGCGCATGGTCAAACCTACCCTCTCTCCAGCGTGATGCGGCCCCGCGAGCTACTCTGCAAAAGGAAGAAAAAAGGCAAAACAGGCGTCTGCAAAGGCCGCCGGGCCCAGCCCCGTGGGCCGTAGCGACACGGATAGGGTTTTAGCCACCTCAGCCACATATCACCGGACCAGACCTGTGGCGCCATGGTCATGTGGAACATGGTGCATTGTGGGTGAAGTGCTGGAGCGGTGCTGGAGTGCGGGAAAGGATACAAAGAGCTGAAAAGTGGTGTGTTTCAGCCGACATGGTGATTATGACGTCACCAAAGAGGGCTAGTCACACTCGTCACCGCAACCGTCCGTCACCTCACGTCACCCTCTCCATCTCCATCTCCATCTCCATCCCTCACCCTCATTGTACTGTCTCAGAACTTGTTGGCCATAGAACCATTAGACAATGGCATGTTCAAACAAGAACCATCCCCTGTACATACGCACTGGGGTCTCCGTCGGCTATTATTTCTCGGCTCCATTTCTGGTCACGTGGTGCCGGGGTTGTCTCCTTCGGCGTTAACAGCCTAACCGCGGACAGACTGGAGCCGAATGACAAAACTTGTCCCTTCATTTGACAGATGACGTTTGAACATTGGCCTGTTCGTTTAGCGTCGCAGATGACATCGCGATAAGAGGGCTGTCTCGCTGTAGAACCCTCATCTCTCAACTCAACCTGCTGGATCCGTCACTCGCTCGGCACACCGCACCACTTCCGTGCACTTCCGTGCACCTCCGTCGTGCACAGCGCACTTGATGGTCCTGTGGTACCGTTAGTGGTCGGTTCCGTCGCCTGCACAAACACTCACATCCCTTACATGTCGGCTGTTTGGCAGCTAATTTGCTCATATCTCGGTCCAATGTCGGGCTGAAGAGAGGAGCAAAGGACGGAAAAGAGAGACTGAGTAGACAAACACATCCCCGATGCCAAACTCGTCGCTACCGCATCGTCTACTGCAATACCGTCTGCCGCCACATCGTCTACTGCAATACCGTCTGCCGCCACATCGTCTACCGCCACACCGTCTGCCGCCACCATGTGGACTTGTCTGCTCATTTCTTCTGTTTTGCCTTCACACCAGCAGCTCTCATGCCCTTGCCCCGGTTCCGTGTGCCGAACGTTGACCTATGCGTCACCGTATCCACCAGTACGAGACGTATGCCACCAGAGCATGTTGGGTTTTCTCTTTTCGCTGCCGGCGAGACGCATAACAAGCCCGTATAGCCAGCGAGCTGAGTCCGCGAGCTCGTATCTTCGATATAGACGGCAGGAGGCCATGCCAGTGCCACGTGAGAGTGAGTCGGGTCATGCCTCGAACCAGCATCTCTGATCAATAGTCGAGTTGAACCGCCAACGGCTTAATCTGAATCACCATATCCCGAGAGACACGGAACAAATCAATACAGCTGCTCCTTACTTGCTCATTATCAAAATGTGCCTTAGCAACTTGTACGAGCGCCAATACCGCATCTTGACTTGGAGTTGACCAAGATATACGCACCAGCTTGTCTGTCATTTTTTGACGTCTAATGTCCTCAGACATCGTCCTAACGCCCTCAAACATCAATCCAAAGTCCAAACGTTCATGTCCTCCACTTCTCCACCCAGTCTCGCAATACCTCCACCTTCGGACGAGACGGAACCAGCGAGCGTCATGTCTTGCTCGGAAAAGTAAACAACAAATCTCCGACACAAAGACTGCTCGGTTGCTTTTTTGGTCTGAGAGTTGGCGCATAGAAGGGTGCTAAATGGCGCTAAAGAACGCTAAAAGGACGCTAAAGGACGCTAAAAGGACGCTAAAAACTTGCATATCAGAGTCTGCATCTGAGGATTGCTTTTTTCTGGCTGTATCCTGACATCTGGCTATATGTACGAATGAGACATGTCTCCTTGTGCAGTTACAGCGCGCTGTTACTCGCCGTATCCGCTCGTTCACCGTATTCGCTGATGAGATGCATATGATGGAATGAACATTAGGCCGCAACAGGACCCTGTCACGAGGGTCTGGGCTTTCAAGGTACGGCAGGATTGGCGGAAGTTGAGCAAGATGCGGTACTGTGTTTGTACAAGTACTTCTATTCCTTGGCAGTGCGATGAGATAGGTGGAACTTCTACAAGTTTTGTACAGGGAGCGGATAGATCGATGAGCAGAACGTCAAGGTCGAAAAACGTTGATTAAAAAGCTCATCGGGTCTCTCGGCTCAAACCCCATGTCTGGTCAACAGTCTATGCTCTGTCGATTTTGATTGTCCAAAAGTCAAGCAAAGAACAAGATGGAAGAACAAACCAGAACAAAACCAGAACAAAACCAGAACAAACCCAGAACAAAATCAGAACAAAATCCGAAGAACAAAACCAGAGACGAACTGAAACACATCCGCCGGACAAAGACTTCAGTCTCCTACAGTTTCCAACCACGAACTCTGCCATCGGACAGTCTCAATGTTCTCATCAAATTCTCCGTCGCAACTCGAGACATTTAGGATTTGCGCTAAATATTTCACCATGAATCCGGACACAACAAAAGTGGTACATTGAAAGATATTGAAAAGAGACCGATATTAGATGAATATCAGAGCAAGAAATATTGACCCGACCTCAAAATCTACCCAGAACTACCACTAGGAACTCCATTTCACCGACCAAACATCAGTCTTAAGCGAAACCTAGATCTGGATAGAGCCTGAAAGTCATCACGATTATTGGCAGACTAGAACGGGGTAAAACTCAAGAAAGTGGGTGTTGAACTGGAGAAAACCAATCAAGGACGTCTCATGCATAAATTGGTCTTTTTTTTTGGTTTTTCTTCACGACATCTACAGCCCACCCAAACATTGGATCCACTCTGCAGCGCATCGTCATCCTGCACTGTTTCAGCTGGCTGGTTCTACTGCGTAGAGTGTCTCGGAGATGTCTCGGAGAGGCGATGAGAATGGAGGAAGAGCATGTCTTGTGTATTTCCTCGATAGTGGCTCCAAATTGGATCAGAAGATGGCAAATGGCAAATTCGACCCATAACTGGGTGGTTTTTATGTCCTTCTACAGGTACAGTACAGTATGTACAGTATGTACTTGTCTCGTTCTCATGTTCTGAACTGCTAATATTAGATGAGATTCCATTTGAGTCAACTTTTCCAAAGCGAAGCACGCTCAAGCAAGTTCCTGGGTTATCTCGTCGCTGCTGATCCCTCTAATTCAGCTCACCACTTCTTCATGCCCAACTCCGATCTGATACCACCAGCATGGTGGTGGCAAAAGTGATATAGAAACAGTTGAGCATACACCCATAAATACATACAGTAACTCCCTCATGCTCGTAAGTTGGCTCAATCATATGATTTATTGAATAAATAAGTCAGTGTCGAATGTTCATGTTCGTCTTAAAAAGATGTTATCCACTAGTGACACCCTTTCAATCACTCGTTACCAAGTGGAGGCCAGACCCTGGTCAACCTTCTCCACCTCCTGATAATGCGCAGTCACCAGCTTGTCTTCATCATGGGGTCCCCACACCTTTGTGGCCCAGTCCACCACCTCTTCACTGACGGCCTCTGAGGGGATGGAGTTGTACATTTTTTCTGTCTCATCCTTCCATTCACGTGCAGCAACTCCCTCGGGAGCTCCCACTTGCCCTCCTCCATTGATACATCCTCCAGGGCAAGCCATGACCTCAATGTACGAGTAAGTGGAAGGGTTGAGGGCAGCAGAAACGGTCTTTGTGCTCTTTCTGGCCGAAACAACCTTGCCCTTACCCCGGCTGGGCTTTAGCTTCCGAACCAGGTTCTGGATGTTTCTGAAGCCGTAGACCTGAGCGGCAGAAGCCACCGTTTCTCCAGTCTCCGTGTCAATGACAGAGTACTCCATAACGTCCTGGTTTTTGCCCATGGACGCGTCCACACGGGTTCGAGTTTCCAGGGGGTCATGCCGCAGCCTCAACGCCGTCAGAACATGATGCAAATATCCCCCTGAAGACGACCCAACGTGGTTCGCCCAGTCTCGCTCAGCAGGCCAGGTTTCGGGCACTGAAGTGTAGAGACGGCTTTTGTCAATCTCGGGAAGACCACCGAAACTCATGTCTTTCTCTGTCAGCAGTTGGACCACTTCCTTGGTGGTGATGACACAGTCCACGTCTCTGATTTTTTCCTCCTGGCCGGCCTCTTCGACAGAAAACTCGTCGCGCGACGCCTCCAACTTCTTGTCGAAACACGGCATGACACTCACGTGATACACCTGGCTGGGCTTGACTCTTCTCGTGTCACAAATGACCTTTTTGAGTAGAGATCCACAAATCTGCTGAGGAGATTTGACACTCGAGAGGTAGGGAATGACGTGGGGATGGGTTTTTTCGACGTAGCAGACCCATCCGGGACACGATGCAGCCATGACGGGTTTCTGTGTCGACTTCTCCACCTCCTGGGCGCTGTGGATCAACGAAATCTCCCGTCCCACGCCCATGCCCACCACGTAATCAAACCCCAGAGTGTCCAACAGTAGAGAGTGCAGTTTGGCATCGGCCACCTCCACAGACACCCCAAAGGCCGCCGCAAAACTTGCTCGGGCCTGGTGGCTCACCGAGCACACAAAAATGCGTTTTTCGCCACTGGGTAGCTCTGCCTCCTTCTTGAGCTCATCGAGTAGCTGGGTATGGCTCTGAAGAGCCACCAAAACACTCTCTGCCGACGTGATGCAGCCCGAGCATGCCAGGCAGTCGCTTAGAGACAGCTGCGCCGGCTCCAGCTCTTTTTGTGTCCCATCGATGCCCACCTCCAGGGCCTGTCCTTGGGCTCCGATTTCGATCTCAGCGTTTTCAGTTGTCTTGTCCACCTTGATCGGCTTGATACACACCGCTCCGGGCGAGATGAAGTCGTTTAGGTCGTCTGCTGACAATATCGAAGACATGACGGGCGTGTGTGTACGAGTAGGCGGTTGTGTAAGTGGAGAAAGATGTAGGAGTTCGGATCCTTCTTTTTCCTGCACCCCGGTTATCTAGGTTTGATGTTAGTAATAAGAAATGTGTCACGGGCGTATGGCCGATATCGCACCAGTTGCTGGAGTGGCAAAAAATGCTCCGATTTGATTGGCTCAAATTTATTTGTAGTTGGGAAGAGCAGAGCTATGGATCAGCCCAAAAAAGTACCCCTCCATACATACAAATATTCCCTGTTGAAGACATCCGAAGCGCGCTGACTCACAACCTAATCTGAAAAAAGATGAATAAATATGGAGAGAGAAATATGGAGAAAGAAATATGGAGAAAGAAGTAGCAACGTTGGCAGGAAAGAGAACCAGCTGCTTAGAGAGGAGAGAAAGGGAACTAGCTGACTTGAGATGTTCAGCGAAGCGTCGATGAATGCGGCAGTTACAGTCATTAACAAAAGAGTCCAATATGGAGGAGTTCGAGACGTGATGTAGATACCATGACGGCCATATTTAGACGAACGAGCTCTGCCATCTGTGAAGACCATGTGTATCTCCGTGAGTTGTCTACGAGAAGAGATTGGAAAAGAGATTGTGTTCGAGTACTAGTGATGATAAAGGGGTACAATACAGTAGTGATAGATATATGAACACAAGTACGCACGGTACCACACCGATAGTTGCAACATTCGTCAGCATCTCAATATGTAGAAGGCAAAAACAACAGTACAGTAGGTGGTGATGCTGCAAGTTCTGTATGGTTATTTTGGGATCTTTGGGTATCAAAATGATTTTCTCGGTGCGACATTTTCTATGGTGTAATTATTATTTCATTATTTCTACTTTTTACCGCATTTTCCGCAACATATCGCTATATCGCATTTTCCGCAATATATCAATTTTCATGCAGAACTTTAGCTCGATTAAAGGCGGCTTTTTCGGGAGTTTTTTTGTCTCGATGGGTTTTTAATTTATGACGTGCGGCGGAACGGTTTTTTTTGATGTTGGGAAACTTTCAAAAAAATTGTTACAAAAAAAAGCGTCAGCTATGGCACAACTTTCAGTCATAAAATATCTTTGTAGACGCTGAAAACAACAAAAAAAAAAAACAACAACAAAAAACCAACCAACCAACCAACCCATGGCACCACTTTAGGAGGCAGAAAACATCTTGTAGACGTTGGTGCCGATCTTCTCAATCGCAAAGTAGACGTCATCCTGGCGTATGTACTGTATGTACTGTACATACTGTACTTGGCCCGTTGAAGAACGCCTTCCACTGTATGTTGAAAACATCTGGTGGTTGACCTGGAATGCGACTGGCTCCCGATGCTGGTTCACCCTGTTCTCATGGCCCGTAGCCTGTCCATGCAAGCATCCATCTGGTGATGCCCCTTGGTGAGCTCCCGAGTCGATCCATCGTTGATCCGTCTGGAATGTCTCCATACACGGCCTTGAATGGTGGGTATCCGGTGGACGAGAGATTTGCTGAGTTCATCGCGAGCTCGATGACAGGTACAGTTGGCCGAGATCCCAGTTCTGTCTGTGACAAAGTGCTGCTTCATCTTTGGATCAGCTAGGTGTTCGCTCTTTCTGACTGTCTGGGGTGGTTGACCGTGAAGAGCTCGAGCTCCGTGTCCAGGCGTGCCTGCAACGTCTGCCATAGCTTCGCCGGGAATTGCTTGTCTCTGTCCGACACGCCCAGAACGAGCTACCTCGTGATACCGCATGATTCCGTCGAGGTACATGTCCGCCAGATCTTCCAGACATGCAGACTGCCAAACTGGAGGAGTCGCACCTTTCGCGGACAGAGACCAGACCAGATACAGCCTGTTGAAAGACATTGAGGATCAGGACACACCAGGCTACAATAAAGAGCTGACCACCGCAATGGTAGGATGCCTTGCAAACATAGATGATACTGCGCGCGCCGACGATATGCTGATGGGCAGGTACAGTGAGTATAGGTAGTTCTGATGCAGACTCGCAGAACGGACGGTGATGGAGATGATGCATGCAGTTGTTTTTCTGAAGATGGTTCGTGAAATGGGTTTCTTTTCACTTCTCCTTGCTTCGTAATGGCTGTCGAGACCAATGATGTTTCAGTGGTTAATTTTTGTTGGGAGACTAACTAATTACTGAGTATTATATATAATATAGTTACTCGTGTGAGTTTTTCTATTGAAGATTATAAGTATTATTGATTAGAGATAGTTAATGTAGCGACTTACAACTCACTTCTAGGCAAACCACGTTCGATAGCAGCACACCAGAAGGGTGTGTGCTTGGTCATTCACCAGAAAGAGATTCTAGATCAGTAGATAAAACTATCTACAGGATGGACATCTCGTCTACGACCATTCTGGCGTTCTACAGTCGTCTCAGAACAGACCAGGGGAGATCTCAAACCGGATCAGGGGAGATTAGAGCTCGATTCTGGGTGAGGTGTGAATGATGAGGGAAACGGCAAGTCTTATAGATTATTGGGGACTCGACAGAAAGATATGTTGCGCAGAACTACCCCTTGCTAATCGCTTACTCGTGATCCACTAATTGGACGACAAACATGGCCCAGCTCAACCCCAAGCTGTTCAGCTCGTTCAGCTCTTTCCCTCTTTCCAGTCGGCGATGGCCCTGGAGCAGTTGTCATTCATCAACGTCACGTCTCCAGCCAGAAAGTACCTCATTGACGCGTCCAGTCCACTCGGCCGTGGCGGCTGGCTGCCCCCCCAAAACAGAGAGCTTCTTCAATACGGCGACTTCGTCAAACATCAATGAGTCTACCCTACAAACGTGAATCTCGACCCTTATCTCTACCAAAAGATGAACCCCATGTTCCCCAAAGAAATCCTCTACACAGCGACATACCAGGCATGCAAGGCACAAAATCGCGACATGGAGATATGAAACTCGATCTCAAAACTTACATTCTACATACGGCGGGCTTGACGACTTTGACAACCATTACCGGAAGTTTGAATCTCCTACAATGGCTTCTTGTTCTACATTCACGAGGGCCGTTTTGTTAGACTGTGGGTTGATCTGGAGTACAGTACCGTACCAGAAAGAACTGAAGATAAAGGAGGATTCTAGTTGACATTGGCCACGATACATCACCTCAAAAGACAAAAGCTCGATCTCTGACTTGTTTAAAAGTCCTGCTCTGACAGGTATAAACATCCTATTACCAATACTTGGTACCTTCGCACCTCAACAGGATCTCTGCTATCCACGGCATCATCCAAGGAGACAAGAACTACAAGTAGTGCATAGACCGGTTTGTTACTATGCCAAATAGGTACGTGGTTGAATACCTCCTAACTGGCATACCCTACTTGCTCAAGAGTCCCAAAACGGGCTACCAACTGGGTTGAGGTAGGTCAGAGTCTTTCCGGCGTCCACAAACCAGAGAGACGAGTTGGAAAAGGGAGCGCCGTTGACGTTTCCGCCGACCCGAAACACAGATTGGTCGGAATCAACTTGTCCGAAAATCTCGTTGAGGTTTCCCTTGTACCGGCCAGTGTTGACGCCTCTAAAAGTGATCTACTGGTGAGAGAACCGTTGGCAGGAACAAGGGATAGAGCGTCGGAGCTGTCTGGACAAACCCGACAGTAGCCAGCTCAGAGGAGTAGTTTCGGACTACCAGCAAAAGAAGACTGTTGGTTTCTACTCCTTTTTTCCTCGGAGAGACTTGCGTACGTATCTCGAGGCTCTCCAAGTTTTCCCCGGGATCACAATATCATTCACATCTCCAAGTTTGAGCTTTACGAACCCCCATGAGGAAGAGAAGGACCACTTCCTCCACCTCCAACGAGTATACAACGCAGACAATACGCTTGGAGATAAGGCATCAGACTTCACCAACATTGATAGCGACATTGAACTGGAGCTCACCAGACAAGGAGACACACGACGAGGACTGCGATTGCGGACACAAGCCTAGAAGATGGGAGGAGGAGCACGACATCACCACCAGCGACTACGACGACGTTTACGACCGGGGAAAGAGCCCCGCCGAACTCAAGATCAAGTACCCGCTACGAAAAGTCGGACTATCACCAAGGGTATCAATACCAAGCATGGAAAGATGTATTTGAGTTGATAGACAGATGGACTACAAACCTCATAGCTCTACAAAAAGACTGTTCATAACATCATTATTAAATGCAAATTACTGATAGTGCTCCTTGGTCCCGACAAAATGACAACACAGCCCATATTCCTACTCCTCCTCAGCCTCGAGCCACCACCATCTCAACCCTTGTCCAAGGTCAAAGGGATTCTCCTCCCGGTCCCCAATCCCACCATTGACCACTCTCTCCTCCATCCCCGTGATTCGTCCAACCAACCAATCCCGATCTTTCAACTCCCTTCCTGGCTTCTGTTTCAGGAAGAAATGCGGAGCTCCAACATTGAACGCGGCCCAAGGCTGTGGCTGCCGACTGGGATCCCGGGTGGGCAAGAACAACACCAGATCACCCACCTTGAACCGATTCAACGCAATCTTGGACCGGGTCTCGTCATCCAGTTGCTGAGTCATGGTACGGTAGTTTCGGGCCTCCTTCTGCAGCTTGCGAGCGAGATGCTCCAGGTCCTCGAATCGCTTGGCCACCTTCTCAACGTACAAGTCATAATCAAGGAAGATGCGGGCCAGAAATGTCCTGTAGCTCGATTCAAACGAGTCAGGAGTGGTCTTAGTGGCCCAATAGAGGGCAGAAAAGTCGTCGGTAGAATCACTCTCACTGTCCTTCTCAGTCTTCTCGCCCTTTTTGCCTCGGTGTTTCTTTCGAAGACCCTTGACACGGTGGATATCGAAAGAGACAACCTCAGAACCATCAGCATCGTACTCCTTCTGGGCCTGGAGACCGAGCGACTCAAGCAGCACACAATTCCGTTTGTATCCCGTGTAAAGCCGTTGCGACATGTCCTGAAGAGTGATCTTTAGCCGGCTGTTCTCGTCGTCGACAGTGTTCTGCGCCAGGGTCATGGCCTTCAGACGCTGTTCAAGCTCCTCTGTCTCCTGGTCAGCCCGCTGGTGACGCTCGATGGATGTCTCAGCAGCAGTCTCGACCTGCTCCTCGAGCTCCTCGACACGAAGCTTCAGCTCGCTGATCTCCTGAACAAGACATCGTCGCTCGCGCGAGAAGTCGGACTCCATAGACGCCAGGTTTGCCATAAGGTCGTTCTTCTCGTTCTCGGTGTGCAAAAGAGACTGAGAAAGCTGATCAACCTTGGACTGTAGAGCCTCAGCAGCTGCCTTGTCACGCGCAAGACGCTCCTCTTCGGCCTTCCGGGCCTCCTCTTCAGCCTTCTCACGTGCCTTAACCTGTTCACGAGTCTCAGTTGGTTCGGGCGACAGTGACGAGCCACGAGCCTCAGAACTCAGCTGACCTGGGCTAACAACTGCAAACCCAGCAGATGGAGTCCCAGGGGAAACAGACCATCGAGACGTGTCTTGAGACATACGCTGCTTGTAAAGCAGATCTTCGAGTTTCCGAATTCGCGCCTCGTAACCTCGAATCTTGTCGTCGGCGTTCGTGGCAGATGAAATGGGGGCTCTTTCGGCCATCAGAGAACCACTGATGCTACCGTTTCGGAACAGGCTTCTAGGGAACGACGAAGTGGCAGCAGCGGAACCAGTAACACCGCCCAGAAGCGATTCCAGGTTATTTCTCACCTCCTTGGAGGACACTTGAGAAATGTAATCGGTCACAACTGGACGAGCAATCACGAGATTGTGCACAATAGACGGACTGGATGTGGATATTGTATCGATAGTAAGATCCTCCTGTTCGTTCAAAATGTCCACAAACGGGAACGTGTCCTGGAACTGCTTCTTCCAAGCCACTCGGGTTCCGATTTCGGACTTCACCGACCCGTTTTCTCCTCCAGATTGGCTCCATACTGTCCGTCGAAGCATCTCGACGAGCACACAACCGTACACAAACTCTACGTCCACCTGCTTCATGGCCTGCACACGCTTTTCCTCGTACTTGGTGAGCTCTGAGCCGATATGGGTCAGTTTGGGCTTTAGCTTTGTCGATCGAGATTGCAGTTGGCTAATTGACTGTAGGACCTTCTGCGAGTGCTGAACAGTCTGGAACTTGGCCTTGGACAGAGCCTTGTGGAGATCCAAAATCTGGCTCTGGCAGTTTTGGACAGACTTTACGGCCTCGTTGGTCACGTGGTCGCCGCTTGTCAGCTCTGACAACTTACGTAAGATTCCAACGGCCTCGTTGCAAAGCACATCTGAGTTGGTTCCTCCAATCCACACGTCCGTGCTGTTGACCAGGGTCTGGGTATCCTTTGAGAGCTGTGCGAGATCCTGCTCGAGGGTCTGTAGTTTGTCCATGCAAGATGGGAAGTCCGCCTTGAACTCGACCACAATACTCTGCAGCTGTTGCAGATCCAACCAGTCGTTAAGGAACTGTTTTTTTCCAAACACGGCCGGCGCCACGAGTTTAACGGCCCTGGTGTTATCTCTCAGCTGGGCGAGATCAACCGACAGGAGCGGTGTAATTCCTTGATTGAGCTCTTTGGAATACTCCTTCACATTGAGCAGGTTTTTGTCCAGGTTTTGTGAGTGTTGTTTCATTTGCGTGATGGCCACGTTTGTAGCTCGCTTGATGGTTGCGATTTCGGCCGTCACCCGCTTTGTTTCCTCCACAAGACGCGAGCAGTGTGTGAGAACCGTCAGGGCCCATTGCGACGGGTCCGTTCCAGGAGTGAGTGTCTTGAGCTTTGGAGCCGAGTATTTGTGTTCGTTCGACACAGTGCCTCCAACCACGCTCCTGTCGAACACAAACAGCTCGTTTTGGGTCCCCAGATGCGCCATTTTGACTTGTTCGGCCGCCACGGTGAGCAGCAGCTGTTCGGATACAGACACTGAGAACTCCAGCTCGATCCACGCCTTGAGGTGCGGCAATGACGAGAACTGGTCTCGTGCCGCGCTCACCGAGACGCCCGAGCTCGCACACGACACCCGAATTTCGCTCATAGTGTCGTTCTGAGGTGTACCTGTTTGAGTGGCGATTCTGTTAGACTTGGGGTTATCTGATAGCGTATGTTGGAACCTTAATGAGGTGATTTCAGATCAGGTGGAGTTGCTGATGGTGGGGGGTGGCGGGGTAACGTGGGTTCGATTCAAGGGTGAGAAGATGTTGCCGGAGGCTGTGGTTGTGAATTCCGCTGTGAGAGGACCTGCCATGTCAAATATATACTCTTTTGCGTTTTATCCACGTGACAAAGTCGTTGGCGTCACAGGTCACAAGATGTGCTGTAAGTAGATGTAAGATTACAAAGCATCTAGAGTATGTAAAGTACATTGCTGGAGAGGAGGGGTTGTGTCATCTGGTTATGAGCATTGATTGGACGGGGAAATTGGTCTATGGACGATTAGTAAGCATAAGACTCTTCGATTTCGCACCGCAGACAGCTCCTAACTAGTAGTCGCTGTTTTGAAGGCGGTGCAGTTGCTAATTTTGGGTAGCAATTTTGGTGGGATTTTAGTTGAACTTTGTGAGCACTTTTGTTGAGTCTGTAGTTGGGACATTGGTTGACTCCGGAGCACATTCTAGACGTGCACCAACGCGCAAACTTGACTTCACAGCTACAACTACAAGAACAGTACAGCACAGTATAGTACACACAAATGACGGATATCAACGACAAGACAGAATGGACGCTGATTGTGGCCTCTCTGGGCGACCACGAGCTCCGAGCCGAGAGAGATCGTCTACAGAACTCGATCCAGCACCTCAAACGGTCCAATGAAGAGCTGGAGGAGTTTGTCAAGGAGGACGACGAGCTACAGGAGGTCATTGACGACAACAACAAGGTGATTGGCAACCAGGAGATGCGCATCCAGGTTCTGAAGGCCGAGATTACCAAACGTGGTATAAGTCATTCCGAACAGCAAGTGGAAAACAATGGGTCTAAGATTGAGGAGATTACCGAAGACGCCGACGAGACAGCTGTCCCAACGGAGGCTGACGAAGGGGAGACTGTTATTCACTTGTAGACGAAGAGAAGGCTGAGAGAAGGCTGAGAAACGGCTGAGAAAAGGCTGAGAAAAGGGTGAAGGGTGAGAGATAGCTATCATTGACCTGTATTCTCCTTGGTTGCAGAACACGCGCGGGAGAGCCCTGTCAGTGACGAAGAGACCCAAGTCTGTAGTCTATAGACTGCAAGTCGGTGGACTGAAAGTCTGGTGGAACTGCTCCTGACTGCTTATTCCTATCCTCTGACAAGCACCAAGCTCCCACCTGCACCACCCTCACTCTGCTCTCTGCGATGGCCACTACGCGCAATTGCCAGCTGTCCAAAAGCTGTCCAAAGCCAGTTGTCCAGTCGCCAATCGCCTATACCCATGCGTTTCATAGATTACATGCATCGATTCTAGAGCCAGTATGCATTATGTGAAAAGGGGTAATCACGCTCTGGCTCCCTTTGCCCATTGGTAGATATTGTGGGGCTATCTGACTTTGTCTAGTAAAACGCGGCTGAATGGAGGCGATCTGCGTATCTGTTCGCCAGTCAACGTGTTTGTCTCGTGTTTCTTCTAACGATATCATGACGCACTTGCAGAACGAACTGGAAACTTGCGAGCGACATGAACACTTGCGACCAACAAACCACCCACTTGTCACCAGTCACCTGGGAACGGTGTTATCTTATTTCCGACCGGACTTGTTTTTCTCAAATGGACTAGTATGTTGGTTAGAGCTCGCACTAAATCAAAGCCGTTCATAGATGGCTGTATGGCGGCTCCCCATCTGGTTCCCGACTTTGACCGAGTGTTTGAATCTCCAAACAGAAGCTGGCCTATCACATACATTGTGGTTCCACTGGCGTCCAGTTGAGCGACACTTCTTCAACCTATTCTTCATCCTCATGTTACCCCGGATTGATATGGAGCTATAGTGCTGGATAACAGGGTCTAAAAGCCTGCTAAGGGGGATTGCCTAGTGTGGGGCGGCTTTTGCGAGGGTCTAAAAGTGGGAATAGATAGCCGCTTGCACGCTATCACACGCCATTACGTCATTGTTTCATGGTGTTGTCGACGGATGCTTCATGGTGTCGTGTCGGTACTCCTGCGCAATGTTGTGGTATTGTTTGGACCGTCTTGCGCCAGTCATCGTATCCGGCTAAGTGGTGATGTTGACACTGCCTCAACTCGAGTCTGTCGTCTTCTTTCGTGCAGCGCAAACATCGTCGACAAGCCACACACCCTGTCTATCCTACTCGCACCACTAATGGGGTTATGGGGTCACAAGACCGACCTCTAGTGTGAGTGCTGTACCAGGTAACATAGTGCCGTGTGTTATACACAAGAGCCGTGTGGTGTAGATATAGCGACTTGGGCAATATCTATATAACACCAGCCAATGGGTGAACAGTTCACCCAAAAAATCTCCCCCAATGACAATCCTTTCTGCCACGGTCGAAAAGGCCAAAAAGGCCAAGGAGATCTGGCTTCAGGACGATCCCCGCGACCAAGACGATGATGACTCGCAAGTTCAGGCCGAGGTGGTTGAGGTCGACGACTCGCTAATTGAGTGGATTGCCATGAAACTCGGCATTCCCCCTTCTGATTTCGATGGGAGTTATCCTCGAGAAGTCCATTTCATGGCCGAGAAGCTGGCGGAGATGACTCTGGAGAAGGCGTTGAACATCGTCAAGGTCAACTTTGAGTACCATGACCACGATAACAACTTTCGGCACGAGTACCGGGTGGAAATCAATGGTCTGAAAGAAGCGTTTGGGTCTGGCGAGGATCCAGAGAAGGAAGATCCCGAAAACATCTTGCTGGTACGTTATTGGGCTACCATCTTTCATTGGTGGAGCCCCTACCCCGAGGTTCGATCGGTGACAGACCCCTATGACGAGACCGAAACCACCGTGGAGACTTGGAGAGTGTGGGTTTTGGGAACAATTTGGGTAGCCATTGCTGCTTTTGTTAACCAGTTCTTCTCTGTTCGTCTTCCTGCCATTTCGCTGGGCTCGGGGGTATGTCAACTCTTGTTGTACCCTTGCGGACGCTTCCTACAGTACACTCTTCCTGACTGGGGGTTCACCTTCAGAGGAAAACGGTACACACTGAACCCCGGAGTTTGGAGTCAGAAAGAACAGCTTCTGGCCACCATCATGATCGGATGTGCAGCGGGAACCCCCTACGTCACCTCAAACATTATCACCCAGGCCCTTCCCTCCTTCTACAACCAGGACTGGGCCAGAGGCTTCGGCTACCAGTTTGTGTTGACTCTGGTGACCCAGATGATGGGATTCGGACTTGCTGGACTACTCAAGAGAGTCGCTGTCTACCCGGTCAAGGCCATGTGGCCCTCGCTTCTGCCCACTCTTGCTGTCAACAAGGCTCTTCTGGCCCCCAACAGAAAAGAAAGTATCAATGGATGGAAGATCTCACGATACACCTTCTTCATGATTATTTTCGCCTTCTCGTTTCTGTACTTCTGGGTGCCCAACTACCTCATGAACTTCCTGCAGACATTCAACTGGATGACGTGGATCGCGCCAGGCAACAAAGATCTCGCCGTTGTCACTGGATCGGTTGCGGGGCTCGGTTTCAATCCCATTCCCACCTTCGATTGGAATCAGGCCGTCGCTGGAATCGCGCCTATCACCCTTCCTCTGTACACTTCTGTCACTGGCTTTGTGGGCACCTTCTTTGGAGGTTTGGTTATCCTGGCTGTCTACTACACCAACAACTCGTGGACCGCCCACATCCCCATCAACTCCAATCGTCTGTTTGACAACAAGGGCAAGTCTTTCAATGTGACCAGAATTCTCACCGACTACAAATTCGACAAAGAAAAGTTTCTCAACTACTCCACCCCCTACTACTCGGCCGGAAACCTCGTTCTTTACTCGGCCTTTTTCTCCATCTACACGTTCTCGTTTGTGTACACCATTCTCATGGACTGGAGAGCAATGCGAGATGCCATCGTGGAGACTGCCAAGGCCCTCAGATACATTCACCGGTCCAATTACCATGGAAGAGTCGACCCTTTCTCTCGATATATGCGACGACATAAAGAGGTCCCCGACTGGTGGTTCTATCTCACTCTGCTCATCATGTTTGTCCTGGCGATTGTTCTAGTGGAAGTGTGGCCAGTAGATACTCCTGTGTGGAGTATTGTCTTTGTGATGGGCTTGGTGGCTGTTTTCATCATTCCCTTTACAGTTTTTGTCTCCTACACCGCCACCTCTCTGTCACTCAATGTGCTTTCAGAGCTCATTATTGGATATGCCCTCCCTGGACGGTTCATGGCGCTTAACCTCATCAAGGCTCTGTCAGTACAGATTGCTGAGCAGGCCGAGAACTACACGTCCGACCAGAAACTGACCCACTACGCCCACCTTCCCCCCCGATCCATCTTCTGGCTCCAGATCTGGGCTACTCTTGTCAACATTTTTGTTTGTCTGGGAGTGATCCAGTTTCAGCTGGGTTTGGACAAGATTTGTGACGCCGACAACCGACTCAAGTTCACCTGTCCGTCGGAAACCACCTTCTTCACGGCCTCCATCGCCTGGGGAGTCATTGGCCCCAAAAAGATGTTCGACAAGTATCCTGTCATGAAGTGGATGTTCCTTTTTGGAGCCTGCGCTGGCCTCTTTTTCTGGTTTGTTCAGGTCATGGTGCCTTACTATATGGCCAAGAAATGGCCCAAATACTCGGAAAAAATCCACTACTACCGACGAAAGTGTCTCTACTTCAACCCGCTCATTTTCGTCGTGGGTATGCTAGCCTGGGCGCCTCAGAACCTCACTTATAAGGTGGGCGGGCTCTACCTGGCCATTCTGTTCAATGGCTACATCAAGTCACGATACCTGTCCTGGTGGAGAAAGTACGCCTACGTTTTGGAGGCGGCTATGGACACGGGAATCGCTCTGTCGGGAATCATCATCTTCTTCTCGGTCCAGTATCATCCAAAAGATTTGGAATGGTGGGGAAATGACGTGATTTACGACGGAATGGATGGAGGAGGAATTCCCTTGCCTCCACATGTGCCAATTCCCGAAGACCCGGGGTATTTTGGACCGCCTCCGTCTCAGTGGTAAGTGAGTTTTCAACCTCCTAAAACCCAGTGTTTTCTTAATGTGTAATCAATATAACTGTTCAAGTGGATGGTAGTGATCCGAGGAGGGGTTAGGAGCACGTCTTGTGGAGTTGTTCCTGGAACTCGGGTTTCCAACAAAGTCTTAACAAACAATGCAACAGATTTTAACAAATCTCCAACAACCTGGAGGAACCCTCTTCGCCCTGATTAACAGTCTTAACACGGCATATTAGGGAGAATATTGATCAGGATATGCTCATAGTCTCGCCGTCTTCATTCATCATTCAATTTTGCCCATCTACCTCACACGTCCTACTCTCGAAGAGTGGACTCCAAAGCTATCACGACGAAGTCATATGAGAGCTGGAGCTCTCTCAAATCCAGTTGACCTTATTCCTCGAACTCTGACCAAAGGGAGATGGAATAATAAAAAAAGGACTCATGTCCTTCTGGAGTTGAGCGATGTAGAAGGGGTTCGAAGCAGGAGCTCGAATCTGGAAGACAGGGACAGTGTACCCTTGTGCGGTACCGGAAGAGTCATAACGAGTTGAGAAAACAAACACAATCACCATTTTATCCACCAAAGTACAATGTCCTACTATGTCCCCTTTCTTGTTTCCGTTCTGGTTTACTTTCCACAAGTCGAGACTATCATCGACGTTTCCCCGACGCACTAACAAACGACATTTTTGAAACAGTATAATGTCTCTTGTTTCCGCTTTATCACTGGTAACTTTTGGGACGACTTTCGGACTCTTCAGGTTTACTTGTCGTTCAGATTGTCCCCGGTATAGATGTGATAAAGAGCACGCTCGGTCCAGAGCTGGGTTCCTCCAAGAATGGGTTGGTGAGCTTTACCGAGACCGTCGACGTGTCAGTGGAGAGGTGGTTCGCAGAGCGTACCAACATGTTCCTTCCCAGCAAGGAAATCAAGAATCCAGACGATAGCTTCATCGTCTGGATCTAGTGCTCGTTACAGCCGTCAACGATAGGTTCCTACACATGTAGGGGCTTCGCAAAGCTCTCGGATGACATATGGATTGCTGGGAGAGCTGAGTTGTGTTGATCTGACCTAAAGTACTCTGTTAAAAGGCTGAAGAGAGGTTGAGACCACCAACGTGGTGTTTTCAAAATGATCTACCAAGATGAAAGTGAAGATCGCCGGCCCCAGTCTTTGCCGGCTGTATCCAGCTGAGAAGCAGAGACCGAGGCTGTTGGCGATCAAATGATGATCTGAAAAGATCAAAAAATAAATCTACTTGCAACGTACCATACTCCACAGAATAGAGAACTGATGAACGGGAGGAGGCAACTATTTTGATACCAGAGTCTCCACTACCTTCGCGTGTCTCAATATCTACATCTGAAGGATGGCTCGTGGAGGTTGTAGGCAGCAATGAAACAATATCTAAAAGGTAATTATACGAGTTTTAGATGCTAGGCTTGGAGACTACTTTGACTTCGGTATGGTGTCCGGTTTACCCTTGTAATTTCCGCTGGCTCTGACATTCCCGCTGGCCCTGCCATTTTCTTTATCTCAAGAATATTACCCACTCTTCCCCATGGACTTAAAATCATCCAGATGCCCTACTCGAGTCCAGTCTGTCGTGGTATTTGTCCACATCCCCTTGAACATCTCCATGTGTATCTCCTCACCCCAGCACTTGTCAAGAACAGGTCCGACCAGCCGATACCAGCTCCCCTGATACATCTCTGATTGACTTGGAATCATGGCCTTCATCCAGCCACCTCTCAACAGGTGCGTGGAGGGACTGAGTTGCCCTGGAACCTTCATGTATACCAACGATCCACTAAAATATACTACTCTCAATCCCACCGGTGATGACGATGAGGTGAGTCGCTACCATCCTGTGCTCCTTCATCTGTAGAAGGAGGTGACAGGGAGTGATAAACGGTAAAAATGTTGCAAAGTACAGAAACGACGATACAATGGGGTTGGTGTATAGTACGTGACTAATATAAGCTCCCAAAACAGTACGCCATAGACATTCCCATCACCCCCGCGAGCGTCAGTGCTGATGTTCCAGCACGAATCTGAGTTGCGATAAGGCTGCAGGGTGCATTATCTGAACTCAAATGTATTACGATATGGTGAAACATATAAACAGGAAGAAATGTTCATGAATCACGAATACAATGAAGTAAAAGAATTATAATCAAGATAATTATCACGTGGCTAGATTTCAGCTCGTGTTGGCGTGGATATCCAACAGCGCAGACTTCTGCATTGTAGTTAAACAATGACTTCTACATCACTTTTGGCAAAACTGCGCAAAAAACAAAAAAACAAAAAAACAAAAAACAAAAAAACAAAAAAAACAAAAAAAACAAAAAAAACTTCGGACTTGTCTGTCAACAGAGACTGTCGACAAAGAGTTTTCTGTCGACAAATACTTGACTGTCCACAATAATGTCATTGACTGACCTATCTACTCACTTCATAGAGTCAAGTTCACTCAGTATATCATTTATACATACATACTCCACCAGACATAGGTTCTAGTATAACAATAGGGACGGAACTGAAAGTCTCTAATAAAACACCAAACCCAAGAGATATTACATCCCGATTATATGATCGATACCAGGTTTCAAAGGAGCTTCCCATGACTATATATTGTCAAAATCTCCGTTTCTGCATGTTTTTTTTCTTCTTTTTTTATTTTTTTTGTTAGAAGGACATAGCTCAATCCGATCTCAAACTGCCTCGATACTCCTTCGAGATAAAGATGCCTATCAGAATCACAGCCAGAGTTCTTCGAGCGGCCCTGGGATCCGTAAATGAGAAGGAACGCGTTTGTATACCTTGATGACCGTTCGGCCCGAGATATACGAAGCCCAAGCTATTAGATATTGCGCCGGACCATATAGAGTAATAAATCTGGCAATGATACACACCCATAGAATATTGGGAATCAACCACATGTGTCGATGTTCCGGCTGGGCCAGAATGGAGATCCACCAAGCGGATAAAAGATCTCTTCAAAATTACTCCAGAAGAGATGGGACACCCACACGTGTCTGTGTCTGAACGACTTGGAGGTGACGGTTTTGCAGAACTCCACAAACCCGCCTCTTGTGGATTTGCTGGTATCTTTGGGTTTACGTTACGTAACCAAGTTTCCCGAATTTAGCATTCTCTTCGGTGGGCGTTTAATAAGCGCCGATGGTTTAGTGGTAAAATCCATCGTTGCCATCGATGGGCCCCCGGTTCGATTCCGGGTCGGCGCAGCTCCGGTTACGGCCATATCTTGGTGAAAATACGGCTTCCCGTCCGATCAGCCATAGTCAAGCACCAGAGAGCCCAGTTAGTATTGTAGTGGGAGACCATACGAGAATCCTGGGTGCTGTAACCTTTTGCTGCTGAGTTAGCCTTTGTTTTTGTGTCGGTTCGGAAGTCTCAGCTGTGGTTTCTTTTGTGAGTTGCCATGTTTTGCTCTTTCGTGGTCTGGTTTTTTTTATATACCTGATTCAAGTTTTTCAGATTCAGATTCAAGGTTCGGACTCAAGATTTTAGATTCGAGTTTTTCATATTCAAGGTTTGTATTTAAAATATGCGAAACCTAAAATGTTTTTTCAATTCCATCCATTTTCAATTTCATCTTCATTTCGATTTTTCATCTTCATTTTCGATTTTTGATCTTTATTTTCGATCTTTCATCTTCATCTTTTTCTATACAATCCAATTGGTTCGGGTACTTGTAATAATTGAAAGATGAAACGAGATATATCTCCGCAGATTCCATCTTCAACGTGAGAGAGCAAGACTGCGCCTCAGACAAGAAACGGAACAGGTACAATACCGTATGGACTGTACAGAAGACCACTAGGTTCGCTGACATCATTGACGGTAGTCGTTGCCTTGGATTGGTTGCCCAAAGAAACTGGATGAACAACAGAGTCGCTTTCCTTCTGGTGTGCTCTTAGTATACGGCACTGTACCTGTGAGCCATGGTTTTGTTCGACACCAGAATCTCGTGACATTCTCGTCTCGCACAGACCAAACACAGATTCACCCAGTCCGATGCAACATCCAACTACCGTAGGCTTTATCAACCAAGTCGTCGTCTTCATCCATCCAATCCAGAACCTCCTCATGGGACTCTGCATAGGGGAAGAAGATGACAGAGTAGGCTTGTTAGGTGGAATCTGGAAAGATCTCTGTTATCAATAATAGTAAGGATAGGGATGTCAATGGATGCTGTTTGGACAGACAAAACGTACACGAGCATCTTGCATTAAACTGCCAAGTCCACCATCCTTTGTCGGACAGGGAGAGGACTCTCAACTCTGTCTAGGCTTTCTATGACGACATCTTAGTCGGACTTGGTAAATGTAAGCGCGACTCGGTGAAATTATGTATACTGTCGCAAGGAGTGAAGACTGGTTTGGTCTCGGGGTCTTTCTAAATGTCCGTAGCAATGGTTCGGGAACTAGTTAATCCGAGGTCTGGAAATTAGAACCGAGGTGGCGTTACTGTAGGGCATCCACACAGTTGTAGTATCGCTACAATAGATCATTGTGTTCCAAAATTTGTTCAGAATCATCATTCATAACATCTCCATCAATCAGTCTAACAGTAGTTAGCTTTTGATCAACATATAGTTGAAAAGCCTAACCAATTTGTTAGTGTATGGATACGACTTGTTACCAGACCAAATCCACCATGTTGCGCCTCCTTGGTACAATAGTTGTTCTTTTGGAGATGGAAGAATGTCGATAACACGCTAAACGCGCTACATTTTCCATCATGTGCCAATCTGAAGACACGACGTTGGGCAGATGTAGGCTCTCTCGACGACAGTCCATTAAATCTCACAATAACACCATGTCACGAATCGCTTCTTCGACAGCGCTTGCAAAGCTCTGTGTATTCTCACTGGGACAGTCTGATAGGGCCTGCGGAGCTCTAGCCGAATCAACCGTCTTGGGCATCATGAATCATCTTCAGAGCTTTTTTGGGTAGCGCTCGAGTTGAAGCGTTAGTTGGGGTCGTGGGAAGTGCTGACTACCCGGCCCCTGATCTTGCCATCGTTCTTGTGCCTAACAATTTCGAGGAGCACAAGATGAAGGCCGAAAAGGAACGTCTGGCTGAGGAGAAGAGACAGGCCAAGGGTGAGAAGAAAGAAGAGGTCTGTCGATAACAGGAAAAGTCGAAAGTGAACATTCAAAAACGGGCTGGAGACGAAAAGTCCTTTGAGTTGCTCAAACAACAAGTCGAGACGTATGCGAGAACCTGGAGTCTCCTCGGGGGATCTAGACGCGGTATCATACCTCAGAAAGAACACCCAGACTAAGACAGAGGAAGAAAGGTCGCGGAGAAGAAGGCCATTGCCAAGCTCAGCCAAAGTCTCACCAAGGCTTTTGAGAAACTTACAATGTGTTGGTTCCGACTGCCTCCAACAACAAGCCAACATCGGAGCAGAATGTGCTCAACAGCTCACTGCTCAACAGACTGTACATAACTGCAACTTTCATGGATACACGGGCAACGAATCAAATCAGTGATGGGTAAAATTGTGTCATTTAATGGAAGTTGCGAACCATTCAGCTGGTCTTTGCAACTCAACCCGAGGCAGAGTGAATCTGGTGGATGGATACAGACAGAGCCATCATTCTCATATTGAGCACGGAGAACATTTGCTCAGTGAAGGACTGAGCGTCTGACCCATGAGGCCTCGTTTGATGGTACAATTTACCACTCAAGGGTCACATTAAAGCAAGAGACATTCATCGTTTGCAAACCAGGACACCCCCGAACTCCAGACGACGAAGCAACGGCTCCACTGCAAGAAGTGAAGATCCCACACTTTCTCCATTGTAGATGGAGATGACGATATCAGGGGAACAAACCAAGTACACCAACGTCATTGTGAACAAGGACTCTCTAGTGGTTCCAATAAGTATCGACCTTTCCACGACATTGAGGAATCGACTGTCGCATTGTGTCTGTGAAAATTATCATCTAGTGCCTGTTTTGCGGTGCCTTTGCTGATGACGTATGTTTTTTTGCCAGGCTCTATTATCGTGTAGATATGGGATCCAAAGCTCAGAAACTGTCCAAAGGAACCACATGTGTGTTGATTTCGTTTATTAATCAGTAAATTCATACAAAAGCGATATGGCAAACAGAACGAAGGACGCAAGTCCACTAATGCTCGCACAAAGAAAACTGTCGTCCAAACAGGGGTCCGTCAAACTCCTCCTCGTTCTGATCCTCCACAACCTTGCCTCTCTCTTCCATGAGATCCAGTCGCACCTCCTTAGCAGCCTGCAGACTCCAGGGGTAGTCATCATGGGCATCCAGCACTTTGTTGAACAGCTCATCAGGCAGCTTGTCAAGCAAACCAATAGATCGCACCTTCTCACCCCACCAAGCAGAGTTTTGAGGAGGCACCCGAGCAGTAGTGTGCACCTTCTTATCGTGGGGATCACAAATGAAGAAACACACAATTTTCCGGTGGCCAGGCTTGGTCTTATCGGCCAGCTCAAAGGGCTGGACCTGGTGTTGGTAAATGTTAGGAAACACAACCACACGGTCCTCCTTGGCTTCCACATTGCCGAGCTCCATCACCATTTTCTGCTCGTCCTCGATACCAAACACCATTCGAACGCCTCGCTCGTCACTCTGCTCGTACTCAGGGTCGGAAATGGCGGTTCGGAACGCCAGACGCGACTCGGATATGTTCTCAACGTCGTAGTAGTACAAAACGGTGGCAACAATGTTCTCGTTGATGGTACCCTCGACGTGCCAGGTACCCCCGGGATAGGAGGGGTTCTCGGGAGTCAGATGGATGTTTGCCAGCTTTGTGATGACATTCAGAGTCTTGCCCTTGGCCTCAAATTCCTTGGTCATCTGGACAACCTCCTCCGGGGGATTGTTAATGGCAGGCACGCGGTTCTCATTCCACTCTTCCCACAGAGTATCGTCCCACTCGCCGTTTTCGTCCTCGAAATTGGGCTCTTCGTCGGAATAGTAGCCGTTGGAGTGAGACATGGGATTGATTCGTCGCAGCTGGCCGGAGAGGAAAGCACCAAGGGTGTGTTCAAGAGCAGGAACACAGTCCTCGAAGATCTGACCAATCAAAGGGTACAGATCCTTGTGCCAAATGGGGTGCAGGTTGTTGATGTAGGACTGCACAGACACCTTTCCGTTCTCGTCAATCTTGAAGGGGGTGGGGATCCATTGGTACTTCTTGGAAATGGCATAATCAGCTATGTCATTCTTGTTTGCGTCTGTCTTGCAGTCATAAACAGGAGCCTTGATGCACTTGTCGAGCGAGGGGAACAAACCCTCAGTGGTTCCCAGCTCAAACTTGAGATCAGGCTGGTCGGACTGGAGAACTCGAGTCTTTTCGTAGACAATTGGGAATAGAGAAGGATGGACTAGATCCAGAACCTGCTCGTTGGAACCAGGATGCCAATCGGGCTCTCCCTCGTCCTCAAGCAACTCCTTGACTACAGTCTTGAGCTTGGTCTTTGTGTCCTCGGAAACAAGCCCGTCACCCTGCATGATCTCACGGGTGAGAATGGGGCCAGCCTTGTGCTCGAACTTTGCTGAGATGGGTCTGTAGACCTCCTTGAGCTCCTTGATGACGTAATCGGCCCACGGTTCTCGCACCCCTTGCTCCACCATCTCCGTCTTCCATTTGGCCACAATAGTCTCGTCGTCGATCTTTCGCCACCACTCTGGCTTCTGTCTGATGGCCTCCGATGCTCCATTCACGCCCTGCTCCTCCAGACACACAGGGGTGGTGTACACGTCGCCCCAAGCGTCGGTGGTGTAGGGGTGGGGAAAGGGTGACTTGTCGTCTCCCGACAGCATGGGATATCGCTCTCCAAAGTTGCAGTTTTGGGGTACATAGACGTAGGGAGTGTTGGTTGGCTCCTCAGCATCGTCGGAGTCATCACTTCCTGACTCGTCGTCGTCATCTTCGTCATTATCGACATCAAGCAGAACTTGGGTCGCCTCCGCATTGGGGGTGGCGGTCTGTGACGCCGTCTCCTGGGCGGGGGTTTCGTCTCCCAGACCCTCGTTCTGAGCAATTGCGCTGTCGTTTCCCAGAGCCATGGATGTGTGTAGAGTAAGAGTTGAGAAAAGAAGCCGGAATCCGGGGTTTAACTAACGGTATATTTAAAGTTGGCGTGTTTACGTTTTGACTTTGGGCTGCGTCAGGGTATTTGCAGGGACTCTGGAGAACGCAGAGCGTATAGGAGACCAAATATATGCAGATAACCGGGTTATTCGAGGCGCCAGAATCCCTCTGATATACTTTTCTCGCAAATAGCTTCAATATTGACAACCATATGCCCGTTCAAACTCCAACACCTTTCAAACCATATTTACATGCGGCTGAGTGCGGCTGAAACACCGCTAATCAATCAGATCAACGACAACAGACACAGCAGAGACAAGTGACACAAACGCCAATTCACGGACTTGGGGCTGTTTCCAAACACCGTCTATCTGTGCACAAACACGTCTGGGGTCACGTGGTGTGTTCAAATCTGCGTTCTTATCCAATTATATAAGCATAGATTGGGTTCGGGTAGACGACGTAATGGGTCTTGGAGCGTGCATGAACATCGTCGGCAATTGGCTGAGGAGTGATTCTTGAGTGAATAATCAAATTGAGGATGACTATTCTAGTAACGTGCTCGGGTTGACTAATGAGGTATTAGTGATTGTTTGGATCGTCGGGATCTTGGTGATGATGTGCATCTAGCCGTCATTCAGATATACCGAAGACCCTGAAGGAGTTACGAAGAACTAATTGAGATTTGGACCGAACATAATTCAAAGATTGAAACCTCTCTGTCAATACAGACTGCTCAATTAAGTTATGAGCTCTTTTATTACCCATAACGACCTGCTTAACCACTGGTGGCAGTACCGTACAGAATGTCGTTCCCGTGGCAACAGGTCCGTGGAAGGGACAGATAGTTGAGTAACAGCTAACTTTGGTCATCTACTGGTGACAGTATTACAAATTTACTTTCAAACACCGCACGTCAGCTTGTATTCTGCTTAAATACCATGTCCTCTGTTACACAACCCCAACAGGGGTTGAAGGGTTTTCCTGTCTAACGTGCTTTCGAAGTAATCAACGAGGCCGATGTCAGACTTCCAAAGAGACTTCCAAAGTGACGCTTCTCGAGGACGGCCTGTTCCAGCAGGTCGCTTTACTCCATCTCTGCCGGAGAGAGCCGGGGAGAATCATTAAAACGTCAACGCTCCCCAAATCTGCTTCAGGATTTAACACTGGATAAATGCTGACATTACAGTGCCAAATCTGCTCTAGACGTCAAGTGTCTTGCTAGAAGGGTATACCCCGTTTCATGGCCATGTATGCAGGTCGTAACTATGTCTAAAAGTCCACCATCAATGCCAGGAACTCTCCGGCCATGATTGCAATCCAAATCCCGAGACAACTTTCTGGCTTTCTGCTCAGAAGCCAGTGGTCGCTGCCAGGTAGAACAGGAACAACATCTCTTCGTTTAGCATATTCTCATGCTGGCTACATAGATGGAACTCTTACTGGATCTTGTGAGATGGACATCAAATAGAAGCCGACATGAAAGGGCTACACGAGCATTTGAGCTCCTCGACAGCTTCACTGTATCTTTTTACAGGTGGTGCTGCAACAGCGAGTTTCTGGTTCTGTATCAGACCCCCGAGAGTGAAGCTACACGGGCCCTATAACGACGGGTGGTCCAAATCAAGTGTGGTTGAAGTTGATACATGGGTCTTATCCTCAGCTCTGTCTGACTCGAAAACTTATCAAATCGGCATAGTATCACACACTATGCTGATGTCGGTCAAACTGATTCTTGGCCGACGAGGGAGCCTTTACCGGAGAAGTGTCGCCCAGGGAGTGCCACTATCAGCTATTTTACTGTGAACCATTGGTATCAGGAACTCTCCTTTCGTTCTGAGGTCTGTTCTGGCCCAATCCAGCAGCATCAACAAAACAGGCCAGAGATCAACTGCAGTACAGTAGTATAGGTTTAGGAAGGGCAGATGAGCTCAAGCAAGTCTCGGTTTTGTATATCTATTTGAGAGGTTGAGCAGTTGTATTTTTCTAATGATTCTTTACAGCTATATACCTAGTAAGCCGGGTTATTGGCGTTCAATAAATCATATACTTCTGAATCTGCGATGTGCGCACTTTTTTTCGCATTCTTCTCGAATAAAATGCTTCGACACCTTTTTTGAACATATTTCTGGTCCTATGGCACAGCGGTAGCGCGTGAGATTGCAAATCTTAAGGTCCCGAGTTCGAATCTCGGTGGGACCTCTTTTTTATGGAGAAGGGAGTTTCTCATGAACGCCAGGCTTTCATAAGCCTTTTACCATTGTTGGTTCAACTGGCGGTTTTTTTTTTTACTATAGATTCAAGAACACATTTACCGTATGGTGCAGCGCATATTTGTACATGCCTTCGCGTACCAGGACACCAGGATGTGATGCTCTGTAAACAGTCAAAGACAGCTCACAATTATCCAGATTATCCAGATAGCCAATTGACCATTGCAATTGTCTTGTTTTTTCAGCTCTTGGACCTCGCACAAGTGTCGAACCCCTACGGTAAGCCTGGTGGTGGTACTTGGTCACCAGTGCAGTTGAGACAGACAGATACTTGTATATTACAGATATGACCGGAACCTGAACTTTTTCCGGATACTTCTTTCAGATACTCTTTCAGATACTCTTTCAGATACTCTTTCAGATACTCTTTCAGATACCTTTTTTCAGATCGTACAATACCCTCCTTCTCATTGTGTTACTGCTCAGCTGGTTGAGCAACGGATACCATACGGTACTGACACAGCAAGGCGCAAATCCATGAAGTGATACGGTCAAGGGCTCTCCTCATCTCTGGGGCAGCTTCCAACTTGCAGATATCTAAAGACAACCAGACTCTAGAGACAACTTCCCCAGACTCTAGAGACAAGTCCTCTCCTGGCTCTTTACCCTTCACCCGGTTTCTACAACGTGTGTTCCGTCGCTGAATCTAGTATTGAGAGTCGGTGACGTATCTGGGGTCTATTTCTCACTTTCGCTCGAGAAGAATACAACTACTGTAGGCGGCAAAAGTTCCCCAACGCTAGCCTTGGGGAGAGAGAGCCTCAGCTGGTCTTCTCGAACTAACTGGACTCCAGATTGAAGGAAGAGCCCAGACTGAGTACAGAGTTCTTCTTTGCTCCAGTCATGGTCATGACTGAAGATAGAGGATCATCTGTAAACCGACATTCGGGAGGTCGTACTGCAACTGTGGTTAGAATGGTATGCGAGACTTGGTTCACCTCATATACAATGCTCGTGAAGAATAAATAAATCCTTTAGTCTATGCAGCCTACGGTCCATCATATCCTGATGAAACATGCTTCCAATGCCCGATCTCAGAAGAAGCACATCGATATCCTTTGACTAAAAGTCCAATCGACAAACTCACTCTTCACCAACAGCCAAAGTGCTGGTACCAGTAATGCTGCGTGAACTGGTCCGTTGGTGCAGATCGTCCATCCATACAGGCTACTCCACGAACCCACTCCCTCACCAAACCTCTAGTCGGCTTCTGGCGCAAACTGGTTCACCCGAAACGCTGTGTTCGTTACTCCTCATCCGACATGTCCACTTTCTCCTCCTTCACGGCCAGGCCACCCCTTTGCAGATACCGCACAATCTGTTGATTGCGTTCAATCGCCGCTATCTCGCACTTTTTGATGGTGGCACTCACGTGCACCACGTTGATCACCACGGGCGTGTTATCAATGTCGGTGATGTTGGTGAGCGCAGCCCAGAACTCACGCAAGAACTGCCGCCCAACCCGCACTATGCCCGTCGACGTTACCGGTGAAAAGTACTTGACATTGAGCGTTGTCATGATCGAGCCCGCGCCCAAATCGCCGTGCAACTCCTCCATTTCGTCCTTGAATATCTGCGTCAGGTTGCGGGCGTTGACCACAGAGGCGTCGGACGTTCTGTGGATCTTGAGGAACCGCGTTTTGGCATCCTCCGACGTCGACAGAGTGTCTGTGGGGTAGACTATTTGGAAAAGCAGATATCGCGACTTGAGTCGTACCATTGTGTTGCAGAAAAGCAGTGCGAAAAACCGAATGTTGAAATTTCAAAAATAAAAATAAAAAAATGCCAAATCTTAACTCCAAAAAGTATAAGGCTGCATAATCTAGATCCCAGACGGAAAAAAACCAACCTCGGAACCAACGTCGAAACCAGGACACAAAAGAAGCCAGACCGGTTGAGCTTGCCCACATACGACTCTATGGCGAAAAAGAAGAGAACTGTTGGCATCTCCGGCGTGGCGGCATTTCTAAACAGCGCCAGAACAGAGGAGGTGAAGGTGGAGTCTCATCGATTCAAACGACAGAAGATTGGTGAGTATGGGGTGGAGTTTAGGGGGATTGAGGTGGTCACGTCACATGCCAGCTAGCACTATTGTCGCGGGTTAGTCTTGCTGAGAGCTGGTTTGCAATGTCTGCACTGCGACATTGAAGTGGATCGCGTCGCATGATGGCGTTATGAATGAGTAGGGGTTTCCTCTGTTTTGTTTGCAGTTGGATCTTTCTCGTTGTAAGTTGATATTCCTCGCGCCTTGATACCTGTATCCGTCCGAGTGAGTATCCAATTCGAGGTGACATTATGCAGTAAGACCGCAGGATGATGTCCCGTGTGTATAGTCCATTAGACGTCTGGCTTGTGCCTTGCCATGAGATGACGGTTGCCATGTGGTTTATCGATTGAGCTTTGCTTCGGACTTAACTGTGGGTTTGTTTCTCATGTCAGAGTCAGTTCAATCAAGACTAACACAGAATTTGCTCCAACCGCAGGCGCCGACAAGACTGAGTCTTCAGACTCAGATGGCCCTGAGGAGGACTCCATGCATGCTCCTCCGCGGGGTGGTGTTGAGGTGGGGGGTAGTAGTGGAGGTAGTGACTCGGGCGCTGGAGCTGATTCTGGCTGTGAAGCTCACTCTGATTCTGGCTCCGGAGCTGACTCTGGCTCTGAAGCTGACTCTTCCTCTTCCTCTTCCTCTTCATCTGATTCATCTTCTGACAGCGAGTCTAAGACTGAAGCTGCAACAGAAACAGAAGATTCCACCATCTATCATACGACTCTTCCCCCAGCTCTTCCTGAAGAGATTGAATCTGGTTCTGGTTCTGGTTCTGAAGCTGCCGAACCTGAGTACATCAAAGAGCATCCCCGTTCTGCAACTGCCGGTTACACCCGTCATACACCCTACTGGCCCGACTACTCTACGCTTCCCAAGTCACTATCCAACTACTACAACCAGCGACATTTTTTGTTCTCCAAGTTCGACGAAGGAGTGCTCCTCAACAACGCCCAATGGTTCAGTACGACCCCCGAACTGGTGGCCGAGCAGGTAGCCCAGCATTTGTGGAGCCGGTTTCCTGATCCCAATCTCGTGGTGGTGGATGCATTTGGAGGCGCTGGCGGAAACGCCATTCAGCTGGCCCATTACTATGACCACGTTATTTGCATCGACATTGAGCCCGAAAGTATCACGTGTGCAAAACAGAACGCTTGGGTCTATGGTGTTTCGGAGAAGATTCAGTTTGTGGTAGGAGACTGCCTGGAGGTTCTGGCTCGTCCCGAGTTCCAGTCCATCACGGATATCATTTTTGGAAGCCCGCCTTGGGGAGGGCCTAGCTACAAATCACATGGAGGGAAATTTGATCTGTTCGTCATGGAGCCTCTGGAGTTGCGAACAATCCATGACGCGTTCTTCAAGGTCACAGACAATGTGTGTTACTTCCTGCCAAAGAACAGTGACTTGGAACAACTCCAACACGTCTGTGGAGCCATTACCGCGCTGGTGGATGTCAATACCGGCAAGAACCCCTTTGCTTCACTCTGGCCTGTGCAACAACAATGGGCCAAAACGGTATGTCGAGAAAAGCTGGGGCTGGAGGTAGCCCTGAAGCAGACTCGAGCGGGGGATGATGTCAAGGAGGAGGATCTGGGAAAGAGTAACGAGGGAGTCACATTGACTTACAACTACATCAACGGGAGGTTGAAGGGATGCATGGTTTACTTGGGGGGACTTGCATAGACGGCGATGGAGCAGACACAGTGATGGAGCATACACAGTTGGAGCATAGACATAGATATGAGTGGAGAATAATTTGATTTCAGACATTAATTGTCTCTTGGAAAGATTGTGCTTCCCACATCCCTAAAGTTCCTTCTTACTGTATCTATTCACAGACCCCATCCCCTACCAGTGGTCGTGGTTAGGTCTCCAACGAGGCCATTACGCCGGTCACCAGGTCTCCACGAAGGTCAATGATCATGTCATGTCGTCTACAACTCCCACTCAGGAGCATCCGTCGCGTCGAGCTCCTAATTGGGACCATGGGGCACTCTCAGGTGGGCAACGGGTGACGATACTCCTTGTCAAGTTTGTCTAGAATGTGGGTTAGTTTGGATTTGTCAGCTGGAATCTCTCTCTACTAAGCCAAGGAGATATGATATTCAAATGGAGTCTTTTAAAAGACTAGAAGTCTCACGTAAGAAATTCGTCTGTCTTTCTCTTCTCTACACGACGAACATGACTTCTATGGTTCAGTTCAGTTTCTGCAGTATCTGAGACGGATCTCACAAACTGGATCCTGACAGAGCAATCGCAAGAAGCAATAGCAAGAGCCAATGGCAACAAGTATGCCAGTTAATTCCACCATGTCTGGCTGGTTATTCTGGTCTCTGTTAAAAGGGTCATAATAACGGCTCATAAAGTCGATAGAACCCTCTCCACTCTCTACTCTCTACTCCATTTTCAACTCTTTTTCAACGTCGAGCCTGCCAATCAGGGAGATGTCCTGGATCCATCACTATAGACGACAAGAACTGCTGTATAACATCAAGCACTGTTCCCATAATGATCAAACTCCCTCGAGAATACGGCTACTTCGAGCATGCCACATTCTCTAGATTACGACACCCTAAGAATACTGCACTGATTCCTTCCAGTCAACTCCAACGACACCGTTGACTGCGAATCTTTCCAAACCATTTCTTTCGGGTTGGAGAGACATTGTTCCCCTCCACTCGAGTGGCCTAATCTTTTGGCCCCCCTCACTTCTCCAAGAGTGTGAACTTCTACGGAATCCCTCGACTGGACAGTGGAGTTGTGTATCCTTCATTGATCACTTGCAGCACTATTTTCTGTCGCTGGACATACGTTGAGTGAGTGAATTGTTTTTGGACGTCTCCAGAAACCTGTTACTCGTGATATTGATATTGTACTTCAACTGATCCGGTCGTACATTCAGAATTAGTTCTCCTGATACCACTACAACAGGACTCAAATGATGCTTAGAACAAGCGGAGTTTGGTTATTCAGTTCCCATTCCGATAGTACTGATAATTCCCGACTACCGAGCAACCCTTCGCTTGCAAACATCACGTGGAGCCCACTTGCTCCACTCTCACATTGAAATCCTAATCGCCGAACCCCTAACTCCGGTATCTCCGAACCCAGTTTTTCGGCTCATATTCACGAATAATGCATCCCTTTCATAAACACTGCTATATAATAGCATTTTATTATAGACGGCAAGAGCGACCTAACAACTGTACTGCATCGGGAGCCAGTAACAGACAATCGTATCCACATGTAGTATCAACACACGAAACCTGTCCTTCCGCCCTTTCCGGCTTTCCGCTTTCCGCTTTCCGTTTTCCGCTTTCCGCCCCTAACATGTGCCAACGGTTCTGTAGGATACCCCATGTGAAGACAGGTACTCGTACTCGACGTCTGCAGACGAGCTCTGTCGGTCTATCGGCTCTGGGTCTGCCTTGTCGCATGCATGCCTGTATGAAACTGTATATGTGGGTTTCAGACGTCGGGAGTTTTCGGTACAGTTGAGTATTTGCCACTGTAGGGCTCTGTAAAGGGGCTGTGGACAGCTGCGCCAGTTTCGCCCGAAAATATACACTGTCTGAACAGATTTAGACTGCCAGAGAGGTAAGCGAGAGAGTAGGTTGGAGCTTAGCGAAATTAGAGTGTGGGGGTCGAAGGGTCGGGGACGATTCTAGGGGGGGTTTGGGGGAGTTTGGAGGAGGTTTTGGGGAGTTCAAAGTTGATAAAGGTGGTTTAGAGAGTGCGTAGATTTGATTTTCTCTTGCCGTTTCCGTTTTGCACGTTTTCTTCCCATTCTACGTCCCTTGACAAAAGTCTACACGTGCAGGACCACCACCATGGGCCTCGGCAACTCTACAGTCTCTCTCTCTCTCCAGTTGCCTCTCAGAGGTGCAGTGTCGATCAGGTCGAGTGCCGAATCAACTGTGGGAAGAAGGAATATAAAGAGATTGTGGTTGGACTGGCTAGATAGGGTTTCGGCAGCTGCAAACGTGACACCAAGAGTCTGGAGAGTGAGACTAATGGACACAGCAAAAGGTGGTGGACAAGAGAGAGTGAGAGCAAGCACTGTTGGTGCGTGATTCGACGGCTTCGGCTCGAGAGGACAGAAGAAAGATCCGGCCTAACCAAATGGCTGCAGCCGATGAATCTACCAATACCGTGCTCTGACTTTCAGCTGCCAATAGCCTTGTTCATACCGCATGGTCTAGTCATTATCGTACTCAGAAACTCTGCAAGTGCAGTAGCGAGGATCTACGGAGATCGCCAAGACACAGTTGAGACAATACGATAATGTAGTGTCGATGCGCGAACTCGTCCAGGGCAGGATTAGCCGGGTTGACGAGCCAGGATTGACGAGCCGAGGTTTATAGGACCAAGGACACCAAGAACACCAAGAACATGTATAGGTTATGACCTCATTATGGTGCAATCAGACCGGTGAGCATCTTTTGACTGATGTCTGATGTTGTCCTGCACCCATGTTCATCAGATCAATCTACACGGAGTGGCAAGAGACTTCGTCGGTCGAAGAGTGAGACTGAGAGACGGGGAAGTGGTGACTAATGGTGACAAGGGTGACTAAAAGCCTCAAGCTTCCATATCTGAAAAGACCTCGTACAAGCAGCTGTATTCGGTCAAAAAGGACGTCGAGATGTTGTGTTATCCTCGTAATCATCGTCTACAAGCACAATATGTACTGTACTCGCACTCATTTTGTACTTTGACCTTGTTGGCGGCTCACTCAGACTCTGAAGCGGAGATCCACCATGTTCTTGCTGCCTTGATTGAATCCTTTAGTGACTACTCGTAGCAGCAGCCATTGTCTCCTGCCATAGCTCGCAGTTAGATTGGGCACGAGTATCACTACAGCAAGTACCATTCGTAGTCACCACCAACCGACCTCCTCTCCTACCAGATTGGATTCAAGCCACCGCTCGGAAGCGCACTCGTAATTCGTACTGTAAATCCCATCCAACCACAAGCCACCTACTTGTAGGCCTTGTTGACGACTCGATCGAAATTGTCGCAACCCTGAACCACTCGTCGAACGATACACTCACCGATAACATTCAGTCGTGTCCATGGTTCAGCTTGTCTGTTTACATTGCTGCCCCACTCGACGCCCCTGGCCACCCCGGCGAACTCTGATGAAAAATACAATACAAACGGGCTTGATGATGGCACGGCAACTGAGACGCCAAGATCGCAACGGTATGGAAACAGTGTTAGCTGCGGTCGCAAGAATGGCGCTCGAATCACGTGACAGCGTCCTCCAAGAGCAATTTCGTCGATTTCTCCGCTCCACGTGACTTTCTCTCAAAACCACAATCACATAGTGTCTGTCTCCACAGCCCCTCAAATCCCCGCTCCCGCTTCGATTTGGGTTTTTCGCTAAAGCAGCCCAATGCAATGAGTTGCTTGCCAGTCTGGTGATGTTTGAGGGTTGTTGGTGGAACAATAGACATGTTGGCTGCTGGATAGTGGAGACCGTGTACCTGGCGGTCATGAGGTCATGAGGTCATGTCACGTGGCGGCAAACAAAAACCGAAAGACCGACCAGGAGTATGTCTACTTGACTCCCTAACACTCTGGTTCCACACCCTAACATGGCGCCCTGAACACTTCGATCCACTAACCTCGCTCTATCTTTGAGGGGATGAATCGGATCAACTCGATAGGTAGGTGGGATGGTGGGGCTATGACATGGTTCGACTTTGCGTCTCCAAAGTTGCCGCCAACGACGCTTATTTGCACCGGCATGCGGAACTGGCGTAACTGACAGGCCCTTGCATTATCTACAACGAGCCAGCGGCCAGGGAGGAGCCCGCAGAGTTCAACAGGAGCTTCAGGGGGTTCCTTGGGGGAGTCTTTGCAGAACCATCAAGATTCTGTTGGGCCAGCCTTGCCATGTGGACGTGGGTGGGGTATTCTTGGAAGTTTGTAGGAACAGGTGTAACGATCTGAGGCATTATGTTATTGTTCGCGGGCAGTGCTGTAGGTACGGGTACGGAACCGGTATTGTACGACAATTGCATTGAACAACAAGCCAGTGGTGCGGTCCACTCGTAGCCGGTGCGTAGTCGGTTCATTGTCGGTACAGACCATACACTGCTGTACCCTGGACGGTATCCGTGGAGATAGCAACATCCAGACTCTCCATTTGAACGTCTGATATCAGCCACAGATAACCATACTGTACTCTCTCACCTTGTACGCCCACTCAACCGCCGCAAACGTACAGGGAGGCATTGTAGAAACGTTTTACTCAACTTTTCTGGATACCATTGTACCGCGGTCAATCTCCAACAGCGCGCAGTTTACAGCTGTGTTACTATGTGAACATGTAACGTCTTGTAGCGATGAGATGGCTGCTTTAGTACACGACTGCTGACACCTTTGTAGACGAACGCGTTCGCAACTCGAACGCGTTGTCGATATTTTATTATGACTTTGCGTCATTTGTTTGTGGAAAAATATCTGCTCTCCAAACCCGCTCAAATCTGCTCAAACCAGCCTTCTCCACAGTTTCTCCACACATTCCTGGCCCTGTCGACACGGCTATGCACCCTGAATCTGGCCCCTGGGGGCAGGTGTAGACGTTGAGGAGACCGGCGGAGAGTGTGGGGTCCCAAACAAGAGCGCGCGAAAAAGTCTAGCGTGGAAAAAAGCAAACATCGTTGTCAGAGATATTGTAGGGCAAAAGCAAGTCATTGAGGAGGACAAGACAGGTCTAGATGGTTGGTGGTTGTAGATGTTGTATATGTTGTGGATCACTCTTTCGAGTGTTTGTCGATATCCGTGTCCCCGAATCCCCCAAATCCCCGAGTTCCCGCTTTTCTCCGACTCGACCGTTTTCCCGGGCCTCTCTCGCTTTGGTCGCCCGTCAACGGCTTCCGTTTCCGACTTCCACGGCATTTCCTTTTGCAGCGCTGTCAAAATTAGCGGCAATTTGACTTTTGTTGAGATCAACAAGGCAGAGTTTATTTGGAAATAAACAAGAGACATGAAAAGAAAATAATAAAATATAAAATATAAAATAAAATAAAATAAAATATAAAAACTACAAAAGTGTGGGATAACAAACGCCCCCAACACAGGAACGTTTCGGATGTCCCTTTAGGGCGAAACACGTCGGTCTATTGTAGCAGAAAATTATTCCGACTCTGGTATGCGGCAATGGATGGACATTAATGGCGAATTAATTAATTACTATCGATCTAACAACACCAAGCAGTGGGAGTAAAGGTTCTCGTACTAAACGAAGGAGTTAGACGCCACAGTTGCTCCCGACGTTTTCCTTTCAGTATTCTTTTCTCTTTTTTAATTATGTTTTTCTCCTTTTTAATTTTGTTTCTCTTTTAATTTTTTTTCTCTTTTAAATTATAGTTATTTATTCTTCTAAATACAACGAATACAACACTCTACCTTCTATCCGCCCTTGACACACACCGTCCTCGCATCAACACGGCTTATAATCAATATAATCAACTTGTCGGCCCAATATCCGACCGGAGATGGACGGATGAGCGGGCCACATAAAAAACTTTTTTTCTTCCTTTTTTGCGGGAGAAAACGGACGAAAAAAAAATGCACTCGCACATACATAGTACATGCATGACACTAAAAGCTGGAGTGCAGATAGTAGACGTAGTTGGGGATACGACGGAGCTTTGGAGGTCATCAGATGATATTATAAGTTCCTGTTAACATTTTAAAATCAGTTTCGGGAAAAAATCTCCTCATTTCCGCTACCTTGAGACGGTAATTTCCTTCCATCTCTTCCACTACATTATACTTGTATCTAGTAAAATTTATTCTCCCATTTAGTTGGACCTTGCACTTTCCTCGTCTTGGACCTTGTCCCCACACACTCTAAATAAAGTTGAACCTTGATTTTAGTGTCAACCCTAACTATGCCGAGGTCGACTGCATGGCCAAAGTTTGCGGAAATTGAAAATGACGAAAATCAAATGGCGAAAATAAAAATGGCAAAAATGAATATGGCGAGAATGAAAATGGCGAATTGGAAACAGAAACCCAATGGGAAACGAGAAATCGGCAAAAATCTTTGGTGACCGACCCATTAGAACCATTTGTGTCTCCTTTTTCTTGTAATATTTCACAATAATCCTCATTTTATTCGCCCCGAATCTCGCCCGAATACAGTGCAAACTCTACAAACACATTCCGATACATCTCCAGATTGTGGTGGGCAGGCCGGCATTGAACCGATAACTACGGTAAACGCGACGAGATGTGATGAATCTGTGGCATTGTCTGTTTGCGATAATCTGCTAAAATGTTCACCTACAATACACACAATACTGTACTTGGTCGTACTGTTCGCAACAAGTGCCCCCAATATCTCACATTAGGCAAATGGCCAGATGTGGACAAATCTTGGAAAGAACTATACCATTGTAATCCTCTGGTTCTCCTGGTTCTTTTTGTCTAGTCCAAATCTCTCTGACGTGTCTCCTTCCCATCTAACAACCAACATTATCGTGTTGAACCCCCAACCTCCTTCCACCATGACTAAGTTCGCCGGCCCCCAAGTAAAAACCCATCAAAGAAGAGTCAGGGGCCGGGGGGTGGAATGTGGGGTAAAAAAGGGGAGTGCGGTGGGGGAATGAAGCCACGTGATATTGTTTTCCCTCCACATGTTCTCTCATGCCACGTGATCCAGCCCTCACGTGATCCAGTCCTCACATGATCCAGTCCTCTCTCTTGTACTCGTCCTTCTCCGTCGATCGATATTGCCTCGTCTATTCTTGCACGTGATGCACAATCACACTGTCGATTTTCACACTAAATAAGGTTTTGGCGTGACAAGGACAAAAAAACGGCGAAAAACGAATAATGAGGGAACCAGAAGGTGGTCGGAATCAATGGAGGCAGTTGAAATTACCCAAGTAGAATTTTGGCAAATTTTGGCGAATTTTGGGAACAAAATCCCACCCATAATAAAGTTTCGGTCATGCACGATAAGTTGATGGTACATTATCACGTTTTGGAGCTGCAGATTTCAGGTGCAGCCCAACATGTGAAGATGTTCCATGTGAAAGTGTGAAAGTCGTCGCAAAAAGCACACGAGATGGACGCTGAAAGGAGGCAGGAAAGAGTGAACAGAGTCCTAGGTCGGGAGTGTGTAATCAGGCAAGCTCAGGGCACGTGATTGTAACCCGGACAACGTGATTGTAGCCCAGACAACGTGATTGTAGCCCGAATAGCGTGATTATAGCCCGAACAACGTGATTGTATGGTGTTGGAGATTCGTACCGCCAGACTGGATCCGATTCATGGATCTGAATCCGACTCGCCCCTGTCTCCTGAACAAATCGTACCATGTGTGAAAAAGCAACGAAGACCTGTCTCGAACGACTGGCTCGAACGACTGGCTCGAGCGACTGGCTCAAACACTGTTCGACTGGCTCGGCCGCCCAGTATCTCGACCAGATCTACATGTCTCGGTGGGGTGACAGCTATTCTTAGCTACAGTAATCCCAACAAAGAGTCCCAAGAAGGCGAGTGTATGCGAAAGGGATTCATCAGGCTACTACTTGTAGTAGTTTTGGAGACACATGAAAGAACCCGCTGCAGTTGGTAGTCAGAACGTGAAAACATGAGACATGAAGACACACAAGTAATGGAAACACAAGTGATGGAAACACAAGTAATGGAAACAGCACCTACTCGGATAAGGGAGTAGTGACGATAGAGACAATTGATCTTGTCCCCTTTCCAACGTGAATCTCTTAGTTCCCTGCGACTGGTGAGACATAGGTCTAGATATTTTAGTACCAAACGTATGACACGAACAGGGAGAGCATTTGTTTAGAATAGTGCCAATGTAGCACGAGTGTAGCACGAGTACCGTACGATACTGGTAGACAGGAGTCGTTCATGTGATGCTAGAGGGTGATACTGTGCTTGTACCAGTACATACTGTAGACGCACCTCATGATTCGCCATATCATGTAGATCGTACATACCGCACAAACCCGCGCAGCTCCAGAGTGCTTCCAAAAACCAACCTGATACCATCCTCTCCACTTTTGCAAATACAAGTTAGCAAAACCGCGCTCTCCTCGATTTTCGCCCCATTTTATCCAGCTATCGCCCAGTTTATCCGATACTGCATAAACTTCGGATAAGGCAATGGACGAGTCAAATTGAAAAGAAGCGAGAAAAAAAAAAAAAAAAAAAAAAAAAAAAAAGGGAAAAAAGGGGGGAAATGTACCAACGAACGCACTATCATATTGAACCTCGTCGAGGAGCATCCTAGAGACCACCAATCGGTGCGAATATCCCCACAATCAATAAGACGTGTTTCACCAGGGACCCACCGTCTGAAAACTTTTCAGCTTAGCTTTGGCATCTGGTAGAGTTGGACTTTAGACGAATGCCGTGCCAAATAAATTTTTCCGTGGTGTGAAAAGTCCAGAGCGGACACTTTTGGAGCCGGACAAGTGAACGATATGAGTGCAAGTATGAGAAACCTCGTCTGACCAAAAGGGCTTGTACTTGTAGGTTGATTCTAATTGAGTGAGTCTTGATTGGCAGAGTCAAGATTGACAAACAGTTGGGAGACCCAGTGTCCCCCATGGGTGCCCCGGTTGGCACGCTCATATGTTCTAAATATAGTGAGTCGGAGTGACGTTGTCTACTTGTACCGGTAAAGTGACATATTGTTCCGTGTCTGTCAAGTCTAGAAGGTGTGTTGGTACAATCTACAACCTACAAGTACAGTACTTCTTAATGTTGCAATAAATAAATAAATAAAATACATGGTTAGTTGTTGTAGGAACAGATTGGGGTGGAGGATCAGTTGAAGTCGTCAGCGGCCCAGTTGAGACCCAGCCGCGAATACAGCTCGGTCTGGACCTTGACCCAGATCTGCTGCTTTTCCGACTTGTTGAGCTTTCGCTTCTTGAGAGATGCAGCCTTGAGTTCAGGAGAAGTGTTGAGCAGAGCCTGTCGAAGCAACGACGAAGATAGAGACTTGTGCTCGTCAATGGGCTCCAGAGAAGGGGCCCGAGCCAGCTTGGACTTGGGCTGCTTGGCCATATGGCAGGCACGCTTGAAGTCGGCTCGGCACTGGGCCTCGCAGCCGAGGTTGAGCAGGTAGTTCTCGATGATGTTTCTCCATTGGGGCTTGGTGAGCACCTTGGCGTTGTCGGCTCGCATCCGTGCGGCCTCCACGGTGTACTGGGCCGTCTGTCGCAGGAAGGACGGGTCGAAGCCGTGTTCTCGGTACAGGTCCGACTGCACCAGAGTGGCGATAATCTCCTCGTCGGTCGAGTCCAGAGGCAGGTACATGTATCGGAAGCCGGGGGTGGAGATGGGGAGCAGGCCGTGGTCGGGCTTGGTGCAGACAATCAGCAGCGATCGGATGTCGTTTTTCGTCCAGTCAATGAGCTCTCGCTGTGTGAAGATGGGTCGTCCCGACGCCAGCAGCACCGAGGGGTCGTTGACCACCTCGGGCGCGTACATGTCGGAGAAGTCTCGGGGGAGGGCATCTTGCAGCGAAATGTGTTTAATCGACGTTCGAAAGTGCGGTTGGAACTCTGGAAACGTGTGGATGGTGGTTTGTGCTGTAGCTAGCATGGTTGTAGATGTGGTTATGGTGGAAGCTATCGTTGCTGGTGTTGGTGTTGGTGTGGTAGTTGGTGCTGGTGCTGGTGCTGGTGCTGTCGCTGTCGCTGTTTTCTGCTCTTCAGATGACTTGTAGATGAGATGGATGAGATGGTCTTGCGGGAGACCGCATCTCTATATATCCACATTCACATGTATGCATGGAACAGTGGGTGGGCAGCAATAAGGTTCAGCGGGGAAATTGCAACCTGCAAAAAACACAAAATCAAACCGGCCAGCCGAAACGAAAAATCGCAAAGTCAAAAATTCAAAAATTCAAGCCAAACCCAATCAGTAGAGCCAAAACACAAAGTCAACATACTGTCAACGTGTGAAAGAGAAGGGAGAGAAGAGCGAAGAGGTGTCATTGAGGGGAGGTTGGTGGAGCTCGACGACCGCGTGAATGTCGCCACTTTTCCATCCCCCGCTCGAACCGCCCCTCGGGCCGCTCCCCAAACTGCTCCTCGATCCGCAGCCACCCCTCTCCAATTCCTCCTCTGGTCCTGTGGGTGCCGTGTGAGCCGAAACCAAACTTTCAAACCCACGGTCCGCTACTGTTGGTCCTCTGCGGCGGCTCCCACGGGCGCAGGGTGCGGCTTGGAACAACTGGTAGGTGATGGCGACTCTGGACAGACTGCGTGGTCATAGGTCACGAGCACACCCGATGAGCCGACGCATCGTGCGGAATCGAGACAAGATGAGCCGAGGCCAGAAGAGTCCCGTTGGATCGAACACAGGAGCCCCGATTGCTTGCCCTCCGCCCTCCGCCCTACGCCATCTGGCCTCTGTCCTCCGCCCTTGCCACCTCCTCATCCTCTCCCCCGATCCTTTTCCCCAGTTCCCCACTATCACGTTGCCTTGGTTTTGGGATTTTTTTGCCCTTTTTTGCACTTTTCGCCTGTCGCCTTGTGCACTTGTTTTCGCCTCTTTCGCCTTTCGCCTTGTGCACTTTTTCGCCTCTTTCGCCTTTCGTCTCTCGCCTCGCTTTCGCCCTCTCTTTCGCTCGCCTCTTGTTCCCATCGCCTCGGTCAACCGGCGGCGTCTGCAATGGGTCACACCAAACGATAGAGTTCGCCGCAACGACTCACTGGCACCGTCCGTCTGCGACCCCACAGCGATAACAGACAATATCACGCATCGGCGTCATCGGCAGCCACCCGGTCTAACAGCTCACTAATCGCTAGCGTCGGACAGAACGTAACATTGCACCCTGATACGTGATACGTGGTGCACTACGGCGGTGATACAACCACATGTGCTGGAGTCAGGGCGGTGAGCCACACTTGATCGGTGAGTCAAAACCGATGGAAAACTGAGACCGCAAGGAAGATGGTGTCAGACATGAGGTACGTACGATACTGTACTTGTATCCACAGTACTTGTAGATTTGGTTGCCAATTGCCTCCGGCTTTGTCTGATCCAGAGCTACACCAACACAACCCTCAGGTTACCTTTTCGGTCACGACATGCACACGGACGGAGTCGTGGGCACCACTCTCTCCCACACCCAAAGCGAGTGGGGGGCGCGCGCTGGCTCCTTCCTCCTCGCTTTCGGAGCGACTCTGTACACCACCAAACGTTGCAAAGTTCAGGGTGCATGGAACTTTTTTAAGCTTCTCGAACCTGTGGATCCCCCTGGCAAAAATAGAACCTGGCGGTAAACGTGGGAGACCCGTGGGAGACGTCGCTACCGCCGTCGCCTGGTTGAATTCGCCTTTCCCGTGTCCTTCTGCACCGCGTTTCACCGTCAAAATCAGCCCCTCAACTGGGTACCCAAAACACACTCCTCCTATTGTCTTCCAATCTTGTTATGCATTGCAACATGCCTTACTTGGCAGATAGTTGGGTTGTGTAAGAAGACTGGCCCCACCGAAATACAAAAAAAGCCATACAGCAGCTCGATGAGACGATAAACAACACATTAGAGAAGCAATAGCTCAGGCTTGCTATGTCGCTCTGCCACGCATCTCTGTGGAAAAAGGCGGGGAGACCTGCTGCAGTTGTGTTGATACGGCGGGGAGAACTGCTGCAGTTGTATTGATACACTAGGGTCTGTGAAGTTGTGTGCACATACACAGTACAGTACCGATACATTCTGGCGTTGATACCTAGTATCAAACACGATTGTCCATCTTCTATCAACTCATGCCACGTTTCTCGCGACACCCTCTCTTTCTCGCAACACTGTCTCTCACAACAATGTCTCTTTCGCAACACTTTTCCTCATAAGCAGAGATCTTTCCTGCGCTCACGGTCATAAGTCATAGCTATAGAGCGCGGCAAACTTGGTCTAACGCCCGTTGTAGAGCGCTAAACGAGCAGAAAAAGGGGAATCGCTCTGTTGCGGGGTGGATAAGAGGGGTGTTATGGATTCTCGGTGGCTCTACGGACCCTGGGTCGTGGGCGTGATGTTATCTGGTGTAACGTGTCAGATACCACTGCTAGTAGAGCCCGTATTTGGACCAGAATAGTTTTGGTACGATAGCAGACCAGTGTATAACGCACACGAGCATGTGTGGAGCCAAATATGGAGCTAGTCATACCGCTGGAAGCAGGTGGACAGTTCCAATTTAAAGCCCTTGTCTGTACGAGCACGTTGATATTACTTCTTCGCACCCTTGTCATACAAATATTCGTCAACATGTCGACCTCGATACAAATAACCTCCACCCTTTGCATGGCCAGTGTCGTATCGAAAACGATGCAGCTTGGGAGGTGGTGTGAATTGTTCATGATTTACAAGGGTTACATGGATAAGAATGGCACCTTTTTGATGCTTGGATATGGCTGGTTGCAACGGTGTTGTTTGTTTTTCATTTGGACCAACGCTGCCATCTCCAGATGCCGTTCTTTCGGCGGCTAATCCGCGCTAATGTGAGGTATAATCCGATCAAGATTTATCGCACAGGAGCTGTTCAGGTATTGTGGTCGTTTTATGAACAGCATCTTCGATTGGATTGAACCAGAATTGACCACGGACGCTAGCAAACAAGACGTATCCGTCCTCTCAAAAATTTGGGCTACTTCCATCCGCCCTTTTCACCAGAAACACAACATTCCCATCAGGACCTATAAATGAGCACCCCTCCGGGAAGTCACAGGGTCAGCGTAGTAGTACGAGCACATGCAATAGGAGACCAAGTGACGGTGGATTCGTATCTCTCTCCTGTTTGGGCATTGTGGCACTTTTGGTATTGCTATCTTCCTCATTTGGTAGTTGGACTGGTTCCATTTTTGACATAATATCCTCCTGAAATATGGGTGGAAAAAATACGTCAAATAAATGAGCGGAAAGAGCAACTCTCAGGGAAGAAATAAAAGCATTTATTTTGAACGAGATTGTCCACGAGATTGCCACAACTGCCAAGTTTCAAATATTTTAGGCGGAGTATCGTCCACCACATTTAGCAGGTGGGACATTGTCAAAAATGAGCGATCTTTGGGCTGAAATGGCACCACAAGTGGGAACAAACTCCAGAGAAAAAGTTGTTGGATTGAATCTCCACATTCTCGTTGATCGAATGTCAAAATACTGGCGAGAATTGTTTACTTGTGGGCCAATAAAGAGTCTTCCAAGGGTCTCTGTAGACAATCTTGATCTAACCTGACAAATAAGTTCAACATATTGAACCTACTCGATCGAACAAAGTGACACAGGTAGGTGTATTGATGCCTTAATCGATCGATCCACGGTAGAATTGCCACTCGTCCTGCCAACTCGGATTCGTTATACGTCCTGCGTATCTAGTTTTATCTGTCAAAACCATTTTTGTTGCCGTCTAGAAGTTACCAAGCTCATCTATCATCTGCTGGAGTTTCCTGAATATCACCATTTTCCGTTCAATTTTCCGTTCCCGTCAAAAATGTCCGTCATCAGTGAATAATCTCCACCAGGTCTCAGTTCTGCCATTTGAATTTCATATTGGAGACGTTGACAAAAGGTTAAGAGGGGCATGTGCACTGTTGATAGTCCCAGAAAGCCCTTCCGTTCTTGCTCCTGTTCTTCCCGCTCTTGCTCCCCCATGTCTCTCTGCGGGTCTCTCCATGTCTGACAATGTCTCTGTCCGTGTCTCTGTCCCTGTTTCACCAAGGTTGCGAGTATGATGATTGATTGACTTGGGGAGATGGAGTCTAGACCGGGCTATGTTAGCTGTAGATTCCGTCTTGGTGTTGATGAAATGGTCTCGGTCTAGACCGGGCTATGTTGTAGATTTGGTCTTGGTGTCGTTGATCTCATCTCGGTCAGACAATTCTCCTGAACTTGTCCTTAACCCACCTCGTTTCGCTTCCTCCAAGCCCGACTACCTCCCCTCCATGATTCGAGATTGCTCTTCCTTGCCTCTCTCCTTATCGCCAATCACACCATGGACTCTCACGATCACCGTGCCATGTCTCACCTCACGCCTGACGGTCGCCCGATTCACAGCTGATAAAGTTGGTTTGCTGGGCGACACCTCTTCTCAGACACAGCGATCGGCCGAAAGATCGAGAGACGTGCTGGCGTGACTTTGGCGAACTTCCAGTGATAGGGTTTCAAAAAAAAAAAAAAAAAAAAAAAAAAGAACCCAAGCTCCAGGCGGATGATGGGAACCTCAGACGGCGGGAAGTGGGCGAAATGTGGATTCTACGGTACCATGCTGTTCATCAGACCCCAGAGTACCCCAACGTTTCTTTTCGTGTTAATAGCATCCCTATGGGCAAAGTTGATCCTCTAGAACTCTCCATATACTGAAGAGTTCCAGCGAAGTCCGTGACTTACTTGATTTTTTGTTAAGGCCATGGCTAAACAACGACCTGCTTTTGGGGACTCCGAAGATCCATAAACGGCGCGCCGGTTCCAGATTGCAATATCTATGAGACTAACAGACACTGTTGTGTCTTTTATCCAGCTCTCAACTCCCTTCCGTGGCCCAACGGTGTACTCACACGCTCCGTTCGCTTGTGATACCCTCCACAACACGAACACGCTACTACCAATGACCATTCACTAGAATCCCATGAATGAGACACAATAACGGTTTCTAGAAGTGTCTCATTTGATTGTAAGATGAGACCGACCAATTTTCGACACTTTTTCCAAATCTTCTGGATCCCAAAACGTCCTAACAACCCGTTCAAAGGGGTTCTACACATTACCAATCCCATCATTGCAACACCACCTCCTGATAAAGACCCCCACATTCCATCAGAGACCCGCGAAATCTCCGTATTGTACCAAGACTGAGCACAATAACGGGACATGTTGTAGGGTCACATCCGGGCGCGTCTCGCCGTTTTGACACCCTTAGTGCTGTTTTGGACGTGCTAAACAGTTCCTAGTGCCCCCACCATGACATTGGAACACTAATGCAACATTCTGCCAATTATACACTAGGGCTTCGGGGAGCACTCGGAGAATATTAGCTGTCTCCCATCATAACTGACACCTATGGATGAGAATGGGGAGTTGGAGTGTCGCGGAAGTCGTGGAAGTCGTAGAAGCGTCGCCGGGTGGTAATCGGCCAATTTCGGAGAATTCAATTATGGAATCGACTAGAAGTGTTTCATTGGGCTCTAGTAATCCTACATTGAACTACTCGTGTGCACAATTCATTGTCCAAGCGTTGCATCCTAGGTCACAGAGGGGTAGCTGTCAATGCCAACCAACATGGCGTCGTGTTTCGTGCATAATCCAGGTAATGTAGCTCAGTGGTGTAGTAGATGCCAAGTCACGTGAGAGGCTGTTGGTCCTGCGGTATATTCGGGGGAGTGGGCGGGTCATCTACCTCTTTAGGGAGGGGGGGTTGATAGTTGAAACTGATACTGCAACGTTGATACGAGCGACATGAATGTTTGAAGGGGCTTTGAATGTGGTTTGGTGTTTAGTAGGTAGTTCAGTTTTCGGATTGGGGAATTCATTTCGTCTTTCTCTGTGTATTTCATGGCTTCGTGGCCATCTCTTTGCCCTCGTCTTCATTGGCTCACTATCGTAGACCCGACAAGAGAGCTTGGAGACTTCGGATCAATTTGGTAAACGTCTTGATTGTAGATTTATGCCGGAGACGTTCTCGGAAGAGCTGCTAAGATCCAAAGGAGGCTTCTGGAGTGACACCTTGATGACATCTAAAGATAGGCTAGCGGGAAAACTCCACACCTAGGTTTTTCCAGGTTTTTCCAGGTCGAACAAACGGAAAAAACAACCGTTAGTGAGTAATATAGATCTCTATGTCATTATAAATTCATCGGTCAAGTTTGCAGCTCGACTCGATTACTATTCGTCGAGTTCTACAGACAGTTAAATGATACCGATGGTAAGTCTTGTCACTCCTAGACCTAGACTTCAAGCGACATTCTGACAGCTACCAAAAGGAATATTGACAGGGACTCATTCCAATTCAATAAGTGTTTAACACTCCTAAATCTGTAAAAACCTCCTTTTTCTGTTGAGAGCGAACATTATTGATCTCGCAGAGTTGGACTGTCGGAGGGGGACGTAAAGGAAGGAGCAAGTCCAGTGTCTTCGTCAGTTGAGTTTAGTATCGGTTTATAATATCACCTCAGCTAAGATTAGTGGGATATATTAGATCTCTGTGAATGACCAGTTTTGGTCTAGCCAACGACTCCCGTTTACTTAACTCCATTAACTAAATCCGGCCAGTCACTTGATGATCTACTTTAACCACATCCGGAGTCTCCATCAGGGCTTGCTCCACAAAAACAGTACTACACCTTCGGCGCCTCCTCAAATAACCCACACTCACCCCACTCACCCCACTTGCATCCTCGCATCCATCACAAGACCCGGCCTTGTCCCTGATCCCCTAGCCCCGTGCCTCTCTCCGTTAGCCCTAGCTGTGGGGTACAGCCTGCAGTTCCAGGCACCGCACAGACTCAGAAACAAGCGAGACGGACTGAGTCAGATGTTCAATGCGGAGTATCTGGTTGATTCTCTAGTACCTTGTTGGTGGAGTCCTTGTTAGTCTTCTCCACAGCCATTCTGGCTTTCAGGGCAGGTTTGCGAGTACGATGCCGTTTTGAGCTGAAAGAGAGACCGCAAGTCGATCTTTTGGAGACTACAACCTGGAGAATTCTGGCATAATTGCTCTTTCGGATACGCCAAAGACAAGTTTACCAACTCCAGGAGCAAAAATCCAACCTCTCTGTCCATCTTCGGTGTAGTATCATACATGCAGTATCATACCAATAGCTACACACGGAGGGGACGGCGTAGTTTGAGCAGTGGGGATGGTGTGGGGGAGGAATCGGCTTGTAGAGACATCCAAAGGGGTTCCGTCTTTTATTTTCCCGTCCAATGGTGTATTGGAATTGTACCGTACGAGTAGCAGTCTTCGAATCCCGTTCCAATGCTCGATACCGTCGTTACCAGTATAGTATCGTCCAGTAAGAAAGACAACTTGACGACTCCCGTCATCAAGACCTCCAAAATCCCTCCAAATACTGTTTCAGGTGTCGATGTGTCGATATCGTCGTACCACTCGTATGTACCTACATACCATTCACCTCAACAAACGCCAATACTATGTATTGTCCTTCTACAGTCAATACGACACAAGTGCACACACATGAACGACAACACAACCGCGCAAATGGGTAAAAACCTGTTTACTGGCCTCTTTGTGCTCTCTTTGTGCTCTCTCTTTGTGCTCAACTTGATTGTTTTTTTCTGAGACTCGCGCCGTCTCCGTCTTTGTACGCATGTCCACACATCCCCACATTTTTCGGTGCATGAGCAGCGCACCCTCCTATACCCGAATCGGGACTATCGGACAGACTCCGGAGATACGGAGATTAGTGATCCGTGGGTGATCGGAGGCCACGTGAGCGTGGGTTTTATAAAGAGCCGCAGTCTGTGGCGAATTCCGCTCACCTTTGGTCATTTTGGGCGATTTGGGGGTGGCGGTGTGTTGACTCCCTTTATATAGTTGACTCTTTTCGATCAGTTGATCCGTCTCCAAGTATAATTTCAGACTTTCAACTAACCTCAATTAATAGCCGTGTAAAATCGGGTCCGTAGTTGAAACATCTAGCAAGCTGAAAGAACAAAACTCGATTCGGAATTCGTGCGGTTTTATTCTAAAGCGAAGGGACTGAATTGCAATTCCGGTGTCAATCCATGAATCACCCCTACAAGTAGTCTTTCATACATGGCTCTGAGGGAATTATTTTCTATTCTATTATTTTATATTCAATTTTTTATTCTAAATTCATTTTTTATTTTATTCAATTATTTTTATTCCAGGAAAATACACTCCAGTTCCTTGAGAACTAAAGACAATATTATACCCGCAAATCGGATTCAGATTCCGATGTAAAAAAGAGGGCATGGCACTCGTGTTCGTTTGCTCACGTAAATCCCCCGTTCCATCTTTGTACCGGATAAATATATGTATTATATTCTATTTTTTTATCCTAATGACTTTTCGAAAATCTTGCTTTGAGCTCAAATTGTGCATCCCACCTCTGAACCCCACAGCTGGTTTCTTGGTCTAGTTGGTCATGGCATCTGCTTAACACGCAGAACGTCGGCAGTTCGATCCTGCCAGAAATCACTTTTTTAGCCCCCGGGCGCTCTTTTGCTATCTTCTCTCGGTATTTCTGCAACCTTCCAAGCATGGGGGCCGGGTCTGGACATGAAGAACTGCGATATCACAAGTTTTTGCTGGTGAACAGAGGCTACATCAATACAATTCCCAGGTATGTCTCATTGAATGGTAAAGTTTTTGAACTACTATGTCTTCATTTTTTGTTCTGAGGGACTCTTGCTAGGATACAGCCATCGCCAATTCCCCCAGCTCTGAAAACAACAACTACATTCAAAGAAGCAATCAAAGAATCAAGATTAGTAATATCCAACATTTTATCAATGAAACGGCGTCTTCAAAACCTCTTGGGTTTTCGTGAGCCCCGGACCCGGAGGTTGGCATACCACATTGGAAGTCCTTCGGTGCCATGTCTCTTCATACATTCTCTGTCTTCTTCTCCTGTTCCTCTATGTTGCGGTTCCGGCAAAGCAACTACTTGGTAAAAAAGCACCAGAAATATGAGAACCATTTCCTACCATCGTTCAGACAGCCCGTTCAGAAGCCACTTTTGGTGCCGCACTTGAGAGGGAGCCCAGAGTCAAGAGGATCAAGTTTGTCTAACTTCTCAAAAGCGCAATGTGGAGACGAATTTGATAGGTCGCTGAAAATAATGATCCTAAAAGTGCACTCTCTGCTGCTACTGTAGATACGTTTCTAAGAAGTGACTCTCTGCTGCTCTGTCGATACGCTTCCTTGGCTTATGCTCTAGTTCATCGTCTCAGCTACCTCTTGTTTATGGGACATGGAGCTGCCATATTGCAGTTCAAACGAAACTAGGGTGATCTCGGATTGCCATAAGTACACATCACAACTTCCCACGGACAGTACTTCCAACTACCCCCTAGCATCTGTCTCTTCTGGCCTTCACTACAGTAGATGCGGATGCAAAGGTTGAAATCCTCGATTGAAACCGGAACTGTTCTCCAGAGCATCAATAGACATCCATATTCCTCAATTGCCTCTTTTTCGGGCACTTCAATGGGATTCTGATGGATTTATCACCCACTTTCACTCCTCTAGCAACTTTCACTCCTCTAACATCTTTGACGACACCCAGATGTTCCCCTCAGTTTGACCACTAGAAGAGATTTTGGGCTGAAAACTCAACTCCGCATTCCTTTGTGTTACTTTAGTTGATTTCTAAAAAATGGTCCCCATCGATCCACTCCATCGGCCCCCTGGCACCATTCTTATCGGTCCCACCCATCGTTCGGCATCCAAGCCAAATATCCCTAAGCCGCGCAACCTTAAATTACACTCCACTTTATCGACCAACATCACCACTTGTCATCTTCAATCTCGCCACAACATGACTAGTTACATCAAAGACTGCTTCTACTCGCTATCTACTTGCATAAGCTGCTTCCCGTCGCCGCAGCTGCGCATCAACAACCGGTCGTTCAAAATCCGAAAGCTTTTGGGCGAGGGAGGCTTTGCTTTCGTGTACCTGGTGGAAACACGTGGTCAGGAGTTGTTTGCTCTCAAAAAGATCCGATGCCCGTTCGGACCCGAGTCCGTTCAGACGGCGATGCGCGAGGTGGACGCTTACAAGACTTTTGACAGCCCTTACATCATCAAGTACGTGGACAGCAGCGTGGAACAGGAGGCTGACGGAAGCAAATCGGTGTACATCCTGCTACCCTACCTCAAAAACGGCAACCTGCAGGACGCAATCAACGACCATGTGATGAACGGTACCCATTTTTCCGAGGAGGAACTAATGGCCCTGGTGGTGGAGATTTGCCATGCTATCAAGACTCTCCATCAACACAGAATTGGAGGAGACGTGTCGACAACTACCACTGTGCCCCAGTCATCGTACAGATTGGGAGACGATGAGGAGCAAGGTCTGGTGGCTGCTGATGAACTCAACAACAGCGCCAATGCCACCCCTCTGTCTGAACTTGTCCCCTATGCACACAGAGACATCAAGCCCGCAAACATCATGCTCAGTGACAATGGACGGCCCATTTTGATGGATTTGGGTTCTTGTTCGCGTGCTCGAATTGACGTTTCCTCTCGGCAAAAAGCGCTCGAACTGCAGGACATGGCTGCCGAGCAGTGTTCCATGCCGTATCGAGCTCCGGAGCTCTTTGACGTCAAGACTGGTGCAAACATTGACGAGCGAGTTGATGTTTGGTCGCTAGGCTGCACTATCTACACTCTCATGTACTTCACTTCGCCATTTGAGCATCAGACTAACGAGACTGGAGCTTCTCTCAACCTGGCTATCATGAACGGACATTTCACCATGCCTGCTTCGCCAGAGTACTCGGACCAGCTCAAGGGTTTGGTCAAGAAGTGTCTGATTGTCGATCCTCAGGAGCGACCTTTCATTGACGATGTACTGAAGGCCGCAAGTGAGGAATATCGGGAGGTTTAAGTGACTCGCTTCAAAGGCTCTTAGGTTGGACGCGCGGTGACACATTCATTCAGCATCGCTTATAAAGTATGCGGAGTGTGGCATTTAAGGTGAGTTCTTAAGTCTTCGCGACCTTCCTCATAATGGAGTGCGAGTAGAGTGCAGTGAGCCACATTAGAAGGAGTGGGGATCAGCAGTGCGCGCTTTTGTTGCTTGCCAGCTTCATTGGGAGGGGGCTTATGCTGTGATACATTCCTTCTCCCGTCAGATCCACAAGGAGATGTCTGTGGATGGGCGTCTTTGGATTGGCGACATCGTTACAGTTGGTGGAAAAGAGCTGATGGTTCTCGTTGGTATAATTTATAAACAATAATAGAAAGTGACGATGGTGCTGCTGTTGGACTGGGAGCCTGTGAGTGTATCCCTACATTCAGTTCGTTCCGGTAGTTGTTTACAGTATCTACGAATGAAGACGGGTCTTGTAGGGTACCAGTAGCAGTTCAAGCAAAGTGGGCCTATGATACAAGTACAAGTACAAGTAAAAGTAAACGTAAAGGGGCACTTGTACCTGTACAAGTAGGACAGGTGATTCTTCGTTATGAGCACTCCATAATCTCTTCGGATTGTCACCACTTGTAGTTTTACCTAGTATATACATCTAACTTAGGTGCTCTACAAGTCCTTTACTGAAGATCAGCTTGTAGATAGACAATGAAGATATTTTGAGAGATTTATATTTCTATGAAATTGCAAAAAAACATATAAAACTAAATATTTCATTTTTTTATTTTTATCTAATTTATCCGAATTTTTTAAATCCATTCATTCGGTGATATGACCCCGAAGGTCATCTTCAAAAGAAGGTTGTCCCACATTAGCCATGAGTACTTGTAGTCAGGTTATGACCACCAGGACCTCGCTTATTATGCATATTAGCGTCAGCCACCAAAACTAATTATGTACATGTTTGGACTCGGACGACTGATTTACGGTGAGTGGAGGACGGTGGAAGCGACACAAAGACGCGGTTGCGCCCGGACGCGAGACAAGTATTCACAACGAAACTAACACAGTGATTCTGTTGCTTGTCAACTCGGCGGCAATTCTCAGCGAGGATCGGTTCTTGAACAGAAGTGAGTAGGAGAGAGGGGAGGGGAGAGGAGAGGGGAGAGGAGAGGGGAGAGTCACGTGACAAAGACACAATGGGTCACGTGAGCGGCGAGATTGTTGTTTATTCGTGTGCTCGTTGTTGTATATTCACGTGAATGGCTGGGGCCATGTTGCTGGGATCATGTTGAGCTAACACAGTTGGATGGGGATCTTCGGAGCCTGCGGGATTTGGACAGTCCCAGGATCAGTCGGTCAAGAACAAACTAATTAATCTGATTTCCGCCATCAGAACGCTGTTACGAAGTGAGTATTGAGAGGGAGAGGGAGAGTGAGACAGGGAGACAGGTGGAATCAGTTTGGAGAGGGAGAGGGAAACCAAGACAACGAGAAACACATTTACGAGCGGTCCTGTAGTGATTCTTCACGCTACGGATAAGGCATTTTCCTCACTCCCGACACAATTCCTGGAGCTCGTTTCGTTTTCATCATCAATGCGGCAGGCGCGACTGTCAACAGGCGTCTGTCTGGTTGAGATCTTCAGCCTCTTCTTTCTCCGTCGCAAACGTCCTTCAGCCCTTCACAAGCTAACACAGTCCCCCTAATCATAGCCAACACCTTGGTAATCGTCTACGAGGTGGTACTTGGATAGATATCTATAAATACAATTGATTGTGCAAATACGTAACAGAGGCCCGTCTTCTAAATTAGACGTCGCCCTTCTTCTCGAGGGTGTTGTATCGGAGGAACTTTTCAATAAGATCCACATGAGTGAGCTGTGTTAGTATGAAGTGGCGAGAGAAGGGATCTGGAGAAAGGAGCTTTCCAGAAGAGGGGACAGGAGCCGTGTTGGTAAAGAAAGTAATACGGGGTCAGTGGACCATGTAGATGTAGTGGGTATGCGGATGGAAGATCGACAATGGTCGCGTGAGGCACCCGAGGGTTGAGATTCAGCTGATGTCTGGAGGTGATGAGAGATTGTGGCAGTGAAGGTAGAGAAGCTAATATCATGATCAGAACCGTGATCATCGTGATCAGACTTGGTAAAGCTGTCTACCAAGGGTATTGGCAATCTCAGCCATGTCTTCTCCACCGTTGTGAATGAAGTCGCACAGACAGACACGCCCGAACGCCACCAATCTATCTCACTTTCAGCAACACTTTAAATGCCACTGTGGAGCCCATCGTACTTGGATTAATCGTGGGTTCGTGATATGGCAGATCCAAATTGCATCAGAGAAACACGAAACATCACACAACCTGATCCATCAGAACCATAGATCCATCAAAAGCAATCGAAAGACAACACAAACCACAATATGACATTATGAATTCACTGAAGCCCCCCTATTCTTCCCAATCTCGTTCACACTACCTGATGCCGCCTTTGTAGTATCACCAGACATCGGTTCAAGTCACCAACCGGTCGTGATTCCGCCGCGTTTTTTCCGCATTTTCCGCCTTTCCAACGCAAACAACCCCCACGGCCAGACCGTCCCAGATCCTCCTGTCACATCTTCTCAGTTGTACTCACAATCATTCGTCGACAACAGTATCGCTTGAGCTCCAGCTTATCCAGAGCATCTCCCTCGCTCATGTCGTCCTGGAGGTAGGTCAGGTAGGTCTCCCACTTGTCACCGACCACCTTGCCGCAAGAGAAACATCGCACCGGAATAATCATTGTATGGGTTTGGTCTGTGTGAAGTGTTGTTGTGTCGATGGGGTTGGGTGGTGTAAAATTTCTATATTCGAAATCTAATTTTCCATCTACATGACCGTGCATATCCAGACAATTTTTTTCAGTGGGTGTATTCTACGAAACTTTTTTTTTGTTCTCTGGTTCCGCACAGAACGCTACACATCACGAAACATGAGCCTGGAATACCAGATCAGCCCCCCGATGGGCGGCATTTTGCCCAACGTGAAGCCGATTTTCTCGGCCGACAAGAAACACCTGTTTGTGCTCTTTGCCCACGAGCTCAGAGTGTATCTGTTTTCCACCCAGCGAGTGGTGGCCCGGTGCCGACTCGATACCAAGAACGCCACAGACATGTTTCTGGAGGAGAAACGCAACCGAGTCTGGGTTGCGTCGCGGACTGGATCGCTGGTGTGCATCAACTGGAAGTCGCAGAGCATTGCTGCGTCCGTGACGGTGCCTGCTGTGCTGGAGCGAGTCTACGGCATCAAGGCCAACGAGGAGGCCAACAAAATCACCATGCTCGGCCTTACATCCACCAAGTTCTGGAAGAAGACCACTGACACACCCAAGACCAAGACCAAGAAGAACCAGACCAAGAAGGGCGATGGTGCCCAAAATGCAGACCTTCCCACCCTGGACGCCGACGGACAGGTGATCCTGCACACTGGCGCCAAAAACGACTACCATTACAACGTTGCCGACTGGGGAGACGACTATATCATGTCCAACCACGTGTTCGTGGCCGATATCACTGTCGACGACAACAAGGAGGTGTCTCACTCCTTCACCAAACTCACATCCACCGTCAACGAGGCCACCCACTCAGCCCTGTCGCTCAAGGGAGAGTATCTGGCTCTGTACCAGCTCAAGGCCTCTTCTGTCAAGCTGCTGCAGTTTTCCAAGCCGTGGCTGGAGCTGGACGTTCACGAGCCTCTGGAGATTGAGACTGAGGGCAACGTGAAGAAGCTTGCCAATGGATCTTCCATTGCCGTGTCCGATTCCGGTCTTGTGGCCATGGGCTTCAACTCCGGCACCATTGAGATGTTCTACGACATTTTTGGATCGCCTGATGCCGAGCTGGATGAGACTCCCACCACCAAGAAGAAGCGAAAGAGCAAGGGTACCAGATACGTCCGACGAGCTCTGCGATGGCATGGAGACGCAGTGCTCACTCTGGCCTTCTCGCTGGACGACAACTATCTGCTTTCTGGAGGTAAAGAGCGAGTGCTGGTGTTCTGGCAGCTGGATTCCAACAACACACAGTTCCTTCCTCGTCTTCCCGGACCCATCACAACCATTACAGTTGACCCTACCGGAGAGCTCTATGCTCTGAACCTGGAGGGCAAGGAGCTCATTGTCCTGAGTGCGCTGGATCTGCTGACCCGTCTGCAGGTGTGTGGCTCCAACATTGGCTACGCCAACACCCTGGGCTACCCCATCAAGGAGGCCAAGAAGGCTGCCCGAGTCAAGGGCAAAAAGATGTACCAGCCTTCCAACTTCTCCTGCATGGCCAAGATCCACCCCACTAAGCCCAACCATCTCTACGTTTTCACCGGTGTGCGAGCACAGATCCAGATCTACGACATTGCCGAGAACCAGGAGGTTGCAAAGTTCCAGGTGGCCCCTGCGGTGCAACTCGGTAAGGTACGGGGCGAGTTGAAGAACAAGGATGCCGAGGTGACCTTCCTGGAGTTCTCCGACGATGGACAATGGATGGTGACGGTCGACGAACAAACCAACCCCAAGCTGGACTTCCTCATGAGCTCCGACGACGTGGTCTGTACCCTGCGGTTCTGGAAGTGGAGCAACAAGGTGACATCCAAGCCCGGATCCGCGGAGATGCAGGGCTCGTGGCAGCTCACCACCAAGGTCGTCAACCCTCACAATGCCCGAGTTCTGTCTCTGCTAGCACACACCCACAACGGCGAGCCCACATTCAACACACTGTGCAAGAATGGCGCTCTTCGAGTGTGGAAGCACTCTGTTTCATCCTCTCACACTGGCTCCAAGGTCTCATGGCACGTTCGAAACATGATCTCTGCTTCTCCTGCCGACCTGCCTTCCGGATCTATGGCCTACTCGGAGGACGGTTCTGTTCTAACCGTCGGTGTTGGTGAGCAGTTGACTGTCTACCGAGCGTCTAACCTGTCATTCGTCACCGAACTGCCCAACTTTATCGGATCCCGAATCCGAGACATCTACGTCATGCGGCAGAACCTCATCTGCTTCTCCATGCAGCGTCTGGCAGTGTTTGATCTCGTCCAGTCGCGAGTCATGTGGTCTGTGGAGATCTGGCTGCCCCTCAATGGACACAGATACGTGGCATTTGACGCTCCCCGAAACCGATTCGCCTTTGCTGTCAACGTGTTCGACACAAACCATACCTGCAGCGCACGAATCATGTTCATGAGCCCCAAGTCGCCCGGACCTCTGTTTGTACAGACCCTGGAGGTGGCAGCGTCTTCTCTGGAGTTCCTGCCCAACGGAGACCTGGTCGTTGTTGATACTAACAGTAACATCCATGTGCTCAAGGAGACCACCTCTGAGGAATCCGAGGAGTCTTCGGCCACTAAGGAGATCACCCAGTTCACCCTGCCCGAATACAGAGAGACTCGAACCGTCCATATTGGGGACAACCGGGACGAGATTCTCATTGACTCTCACCAGGCTGCTCTGTCTATCGAGTCCTTTGACAACGTCTTTGATGGCGCTGATTCTATGGAGAGCATGTTTGAGAAGTTGGCTATTGTTGTTGCTGGTAACGAGTAGGTAACACATGGTCATGGAAAGAATACAACGAGCATAGAGGCACACAGTGCTACAATGGAGGAAAGAGTGTCACCAACTCGGAAAGGATAGATACCTATAAGGTGTATATAAAGGTATAGACATTAGATATTAATTTGCAGATATGTTGCATGCAAGCCATGGGAGAGAATGTTACTTGTCTACGTTGTAATTTCACTTGCAAATAAATCATCTATTCGGTTCTATATATTATGGTACTGTGCTCAGCTAGCTAGGTCTGCTTCTGCTTCTCGCGCTTGACCAGCCTCCAGATAAAGAAGACAAAGAGTCCAGCGACTAGCACAAGAGGCAATCCAAGTTCGTATTTCTGGGCGGGTCCCGTTTCAGGAAGACTGGGGTTAGTATAGTTCTAAAAGGGGGTTCAACAGCAGCATACTCACTCGTCTCTCTTCACTCACATCTTTTCGGGCTCAGTCATGGGCTTTCCAATCTCACTGGACCAGCCAACAGCTCTCTCGAATCCGTTCTTGCCTTCTTTAAAGTCCAGTATGGCCTGATACGAGTCTCGATCGTTCACAGACACGAAAGGACCTCTCTGGACAATATCCTGGTCCAGAATCTGACCCGCGACAACGATAATCTGCGAATCAGATTCGGTAGAGGGAGTGAATTCCACGTTTTCTCCTTCAGGCTCGAAAAAGACAACCTCGTTGGTATCAACCTTCTCCCCCTGGACCTCGGCGGTCCCCTTCAGCACGTACAACAGTGCATTGAAGCCTTGGGGAATGTCCTGCACAATTTTGTTGCCTCCATAGAGCGACCTGTTTGTGTAATAGTCGAGGTACCAGACGGGGGTGTATGCCAGGTCCTTGACAGAATCGACTCCCAGAGCCCTTCCACTGATCACCTTGACCAGAACTCCATCGTCTCGTTTGCCAACAGGAATATCTTTGGCCTTGAGGTCTCGGTATCGAGGCTCCACGTCCTTGAGTTTCTCAGGGAGATCCACCCACAACTGGATGCCCTGGGTGTTATCTTCCTGTGGCATCTCAGCATGCATTACTCCTCTTCCCGCCGTCATGAACTGCAGGTCTCCAGGCAACAGGGCTCCCTGGGCGCCAGTAAAGTCCTCATGGGCCATTTTGCCCTTGAGAATGTACGTGATGGTTTCCTGACCTCGATGAGGATGGTCGGGAAACCCCGCCGTCTTGGGGACGTTGAAATGGTCTAACAGAACAAAGGGAGAGAAGTTGCGGGCCTTTCGAACTCCAATAGCCCGTCGAACAGTGGCTCCCACTCCCTCAGGCCGTTCCTGGGCAACGAAACGTTGTGCAATTTTTCGTGACGTCATTGCTAGCGTGTTTGTGTTTGTAGCTGGTGTTTTTTTGTTGATGAATCTCGGAAACTGGAGGGCTCTGGAGGTATATATAAGTTGCCTCGATTTCGCTTAGCAAGATCGCAGTCATGCATGTAAGATGCCTGGTAAAAGCTTGGTAAAAACTTACAACGCATTTTTAGTCATAGATGACAGTGTCTGTAGAATGGACCAGAAAGAGAACTGAGGGGTAGTAGAAACGCCAACACTGTCCTCCGCCGTTTATTAGTCATCATTTAAATTTATGGCCCAAAACCGCCTCTCAATTATGCAATAATTACTCCCTCTTGCTCCTCCAGCTAAAACCCAAACCACCTTTATATGCATTAACCTGCAGCCTGTCCAAAATGTGAAAATATTACCGAAACAATTGGCTGCCATCTGAGAGTATCTTCAGATTCCGTAGATATATTAGGGAGAGGGGACAAACCAATATCATCTCATGCGCGTTGATCAATGGCACTTTCGTCATCTTCTCAGGACTGTACAGCATGTACTGTACCTGTAAAGTAAATCTACGTTCAGTCAGCCGTACACAGTCTACACAGACTACCAGTATTCTAGATTCCAAACATGGTGGACCCCATTCCAAATATTCATTCATATCATGTCATCATAATCAGTGCTACGCATTTTCCCCGCTGCCTACAACTTGGCAGTCTTCTGTCCATACAGAATCTCCGAGTCGTACTCGGCGTCTCCTGAAAGGTCGGCGTTCTTCCATCGCTCAGCAATCTCAACGTCAACCCGATCACCGGTCTTGACGGCGTTTCGAAGGAGCAGAGCCCGCACAATGACGTGGGCGAGCTTGTAGGTCACGTTTCGAGCATCGGCTCGAGTGGCTTCCAGGTCCATGCCCTCGACCCACTTCTTCCAGGCAGCAAACTCGTCCAGAACGGACTGGTCAGAAGACACCTCTGCAATGTACTTTTCAAAAGCGCCAATCATCAGAGGTCCTCGCTTGCCCTTCATCACTCGAGCCACGTCGTCACTGAGAACGTTGGTAGTACCCTCCCAGATGACATTGACTTGGGACTCTCTGTAGAGTCGAGCAATGTTGATGTCAATCTCGTGCTCGAGGTATCCGGCACCTCCCAGAGCCTCCATGCATTCGGAACAGCCAATGGTGGCCTTCTTACAGCAGTAAGCCTTAGCGATACCCGGCAGAACTCGCAGAACGGCCTCTCGATGAGGAGAAAGACCAGTAACCTCTGACTGGCCGAGCAGAGAAATGCCCTCAAACAGCAGGAACATGAGGCCGGTCAGTTGGACCTGCTCGTGAGCCAGGGTCTTCAGATGGGCGGGAGTGGCCGAAAGCTTCTTGCCAAACACCGATCGAACGAGGGCGTACTGCTTGGCAATGTGGAGAGAACGTCCGTAGCAAGAAAGAGCCGAGGTGGACGAGTAGAGCCGAGTAATGTTGAGGACAGTGGCAATCACTGGCACTCCATTGTTCGCCTGACCAAGCAGAATGACAGGATGGTTCCGAAGCTCTAGCTCAGCAGTGGGCAGAGCGATAGTTCCAAACTTCTTCTTGAGACGGTTGATGATGACCGTCTCGGGGGTGAGCTTGCCGATAAAGCAAGAAAGACCAGTTTCTCCCTCTCGCTTAGCCAGCAGAATGGAGCATTCGGAGTCGGTTGCGGAGGAGAACCACTTGAAGCCGTTGACGGTATAGTCTTTGGGGCCGGTGCCGACGGTGACAATGTCCGAAGTGGCGTTGTTTTCAATCTGGTTGTTGGCAGAGGCATTGGGTCGGCTCTCAGCCCCCTCCTCTTTTCGGTAGGAGCTGGTGGCAACAGTCTCTGTGTTGCGAACATCACTTCCTCCGGGTCTTTCGGTCATCCACTGGCCACTTGTCCATGCCTGAGTGGGATCGGAAGAAACCAGGTGGTTGTACCACTCTTGCAGTCGCTCATCGTCCTTGGCAAATACCTCCAACACTCGAGCAGTTCCGTCGGTCATGGCAAAGGGACACAGAACGGTGGCGGAGGAGGCGGAGAAAAGCCAATTCTTGAGGAAGGCCACGACTCGACTCTCCTCGGCGTACTTTCTCTCATATGAGTCGCTGATAATACCTGCAGCGAACGCCTTGGCCTTGAGCAGCTTCCATCCCTGAGACACAATGAGCCGGTTCTTGGGGTGGCCAAAGGTTCCCTGATGCTCGACTCGAGGAATGTTTGTCTCTGCGTCCTCCTGCCATTCGAAAATCTCTTTGGAAATAACATAGTCTCCCAGCTCGCGCAGCTCGGGAAGAACAGCAGCAAGGGTCTTGTGGGACAGGTAGAACTCGGCCACCTTCTTGAGAGCAGAGTTGCCGTCGTACTGGTTGAGCAGCGTGGGTCGGTCCTGGAAGAAGCCAGTGGTAGCTGTAGCCATGTTGATGGTGGTGTGGCTGCCGGTGAGATGTAAAGGCGGTGAGATGTGAAGGAGCTGAGGGTTTTCAGCTAGATTAGATGCATTACGAGTAGCCGTTGAAAATAGACTTTTGCGGGGGGAGGATGTGGGGTTGTTGCGCTGGATGTCTTGCGTGCTTATATAGAGCGGTATTAAAAAGAAATAAATAAAATATAATTGAGACTGTCGCAAGAAAACTGTGTCAAATTCTCACTGCTCTCCACTTTCTGGTGCCCGAGTTGAAAACGTCCACAATTCGGCCCAGCCGTTGAGGTGGTTCGAACTCTAAGTTAGCCGAGGCAGAAGCTGAAGGGATCGGAAAGTCGGGCAATGTACAAGCTCCGTGCAGAGCGGCTGGAGAGGAACGGGAGAATGGCGGTCACGTGACGCAGTGCGGTTGGACTGGATCCGCAGATGTTGGATTTTCGCGGCGGACGTTGGATTTTCGGACCAACTCTCACCTCATCTCAAAAGCAGAATAAACCTCGCATCCGTGTGGGGTATGGTGTTAAATGGATTCATGTGAGGGACGGAGAGCAGGTCAAAGTTCGTCATACCAAATGAGACCATCATTATTGCGGGTATTTTTGTTCTTCGATCAAGTTTTGACGAGTATGACAACATCTTGTCTTCTTGTAGCTCGTGCTTTGAAGTCGTGTCATGGTACTCTTACTCGGACTATTTGGAGTTCTCAGTCATGTACAAGTACAAGTACAGAGTACAGTACATAGAGTACATACAGTAGTTCGCTGTCCTGTGGAGTTTGTAGATTGACATTATGACTTCGATCAGACCCCAACTGGAACTTGGTGCACGATTCCAAGGTAGCGCTACATCTGAACACCTGATCTTAGATCGTCTACTTGTATCGTAAATTGAGTGACTGGCTGACTCCGAGAGGGGTATCGTGTGAAGTGTCCCACGTACCATTGCTCGCCTATCGATACAGGATAGGCTTGTACAACTAGTCCTCGAACTCGTAGTACTACTGCTGCTTTCCTTCCGCAATAGTCAAACCGCACACAATGTTCTCCGAGACACCTCAACAGACGTCTTGTGATCTGCCCGTTCAGTTGGTGCGTTACCTGTGACAAAACCATGGTCCAGCATACAGAGACATCCAACCAGTGATTGTAGCAGAGTTTGAAACACGCACTTCTTCCCTCTCTCTCGAGATATACTTTCATACAAGCCTTGATTTCGATGAGATTCTGAGTTCAATACAGCTTCTGAGGGATCCATATTGCTCACAAAATTAATTAGCAACCGAAGATAGGTCAACAAACCGCGGTTAGGGTTCGGACACCCCCCCACCCTTAGTCAGAAGCTTATGTTGAGAGCAAGTTCGAGTTCAGTACTCGTACTTGAGACATAGCAAAGCAATTCTGGTCATGTGACTGCAAAAAAAACAGTTGTACTTGTAGTTGCGGGTGAGGGCCCGATCTGACTGGCCAATGTTTACCCTACCGAGCAACCCCACACATATTAATAATATACGAAGCTTTTAGGTTATCTGAGCACTGAGTTCACAGTCTCAAATAAGGTTGTGGAAGTGCACGGAAAAGTGCACCTAAGGAGGTGTTAAAGAAGCCAATTGTGGGTTTTCAAGGAGAAAATCGGTTCTGAATGGCCCCCAAATACCCCCTGTCTCCTTTTTCCGCGCGATTTTGACCCATTTCCCTGGATTTTCAGGTGGCAAATTTGTAAAACGCTTTTATCGGCTCTGCAGATGCAGTGTTCCAAACTCCCAACTGAAACAGACCTGGCTTTATCGCTGTTCTTAGAAATACTAGCCTTCTATTGGCCAATGAAACACGAGCGTGACAAGTCCATAAGTGTCCGTAGAGCGGGTAATTGCGGTCAATAGTTGGAGTTTGCACCCCGGAAGTCACGTGATGCCCCCCCATCCCCGGTCATTCTCCCCCAAGACTCCTTGCAATCTGGCATGGTGTACATGTTTCCTGGATTATTTTTGACATTTTTGGTTGCCTTGCATTTCCACTTTTGGGGGCGAAGGGCTAATAGGCATTTTTTGACATTTTCGACGAAACAGGCTTTTGACCAGTGAGCATTTTGTGCGGGATGTTTAGCGTCCATCGGTGTATTTTTGGATACCAATGGCTAGCCTGCGGTGAGGAGGGTCCGATTCCGTCATAAAACTGGTCACGTGCAGTAATGATTTTTGTTGTTTTGGGTGATTTGTAATGGTTTCCATGGCCTTCGGACTTGTCTGCTGCAAATTGACGTTTCGTTTTTTTTTGGAGCCGACAAAGTTTGGATTTTCGGGAGCTGGTTCAGGGATGGAATACGCGACATAGGGGCTAATGGGACGTGTGACGAGGCGTTACTTCGGCAGTTCCGAGTTTGGAGGGGCGACCTGTGTGTTTTTTGAGCCGCAAAACCATCGCTTTTACCGTATTTCGGCTTTCCGGAATCTGAGCGGACGCATCCCTCGTCTCGCTGTGCAATTATGTGGTGCATGCTGCAGGTGCATGTTTGGGGACATTGCAGGGTGGTGGGGGGGAGAGGGTTTGGGAAGCGGAATGGAGGCAGATTGAGAGCGGTTGTTGCTCTGTGGCACTTTGGGCAGCGCCAATCGACCGTCTCATAGGGGGGTTTGGATGGAGCCCAACTTTGGGGAGGGAGATTTCTCGCTTGCCGTTCCGACTTAAACTCTAAATATGAGTCCGAAGTCGCAAAACCAGACTGAATAAGGTTTATGTGGTTCTTTGTTTGAGGGGGTTACCCGGCCGGAGCTTATGCGCTTATCAGATTTGGATTTGGGTCCCAATTCATGTGATGCGCCCAATCAGATAGGTATATAGTCTCAAGCACTTCCTCCTAGAACGCCAGACGAAAATCTCAGTGGAACCCGACATTTAAGACGAGCCCACACTAAAAACTCACGCACAAACACACACAAGCGAAAATGATGTTCAACAGAATTACCCGATCTGCCGGTCTGCTCGCTCGAGCCCGACCCACCACCACCGCCGTCATGTCTCCCATGACCCCTCTTGCCATCTCTCGACGAGGCTACCACGAGAAGGTGCTGGACCACTACAACAACCCCCGAAACGTGGGATCCATGAACAAGAATGACGAGGACGTCGGAACTGGTCTGGTTGGAGCCCCCGCCTGTGGCGATGTCATGAAGCTGCAGATTCGAGTGGACGACAACGGAGTCATCCAGGACGTCAAGTTCAAGACCTTTGGCTGTGGCAGTGCCATTGCCTCCTCTTCCTACGTGACTGAGCTTGTTCGAGGCAAGTCTCTGGCTGAGGCTGGCAAGATCAAGAACACCGTCATTGCCAAGGAGCTGTCTCTTCCCCCCGTCAAACTGCATTGCTCCATGCTGGCTGAGGACGCCATCAAGTCTGCCATCAGCGATTACAACAGCAAGCGAAAGACCAAGAACCCCACTCTTGGTGCCGAGGCTGCAGAGACTCCTGCTGCCGCCACTGCCACTGCCTAAGTGTAGTGCGGGACCGGTACGAAATGATGAATAACGGAGGATGGGCTTGAGAATCTCGAAAAGCCAAAAAAATATTGGTGGCAAACAATGCGCGGAAAGCATTTGAATTATGACGAGTATGAATGATGGAGATATAGCAATAGTATTTATTTATATGTGATGAGCATGTGAGAACCCAAACCCACATTCCAGGAAAGCTAGAAGCTTATTTTAGCTCTACCATTGCACCCACTAAATAGTATTGCTTCACCACCCCCAAAACACAACTTAACACCACCACCACACGTTACTCACACTAACCACAAACACGACCATGGTTTCTCTTCCGTTCCGACGAGCATCCAAGGCCGAGGCCAACTCGTCCGCGCCCGCTCCCTACTACAAGTACGACCGAGGAGAAGATGCCGAGCAGGAGCAGAACCAGGACCCCAATGCTCCTCCCTCGCCCAACAACAGACGTCAGAGCAAAGCGCAGGATGTCAGTGACCCCATTCTGTCTGCGATTCACGACGCCCAGCCGTTCGAGCAGTCGTACAACCATCAAGGCGTCCACCAGAGTCTGTCGCCAGACATGCAGCTCCGAGATACTTTTGGAGCTCCCATCAGTGACCCCGACCGGTCCAACCCTACCCGTCCTCGAAACGAGCGACCTCTTGACACAATCCGAACGTTTGAGTACCTGACGACCGGAGACGAAAGAGTGCGAGAGGAGATGGAGACGGGATCTCTGGGCTTTGTGCCCCGACAGGGCTTCACCGTGCCCCAATTTGACACAAACCCCTACGCCCCCCAGGAAGGCTCAAGCAATGGCCCCGAGGGTGGAAACGTCATTTCTTTTGCTGGCAACGGCGAGAGCGCAGAATTCAACTACATCCGAGACCCTCCTCCCGTGACCAAGGAGAAGAAGAAGCGAGGTCTGTTTGGCCGAAAGAAGAAGGAGAAGCCCATTACCGTCGGACAGTTGGAGGAGTAGAAGGACTTTGGATTCGGTCCAGGTTGATGACAGAGCACTAGTTATACCGAGTGCCATGTAATGAGGGTTACAGGGTTGACCCTGATAGTGAATGTATTGTTTGTATATATTGTACTTGTACATACAATCCACGATGGGGCGCGTTCACGGAAAGAAAATTATTATTATTATTATTATTATTATTATTATTATTATTGGCGTTAGCGCAGTGTTGATGTTGATGTTTCTCTGGATGGCGCTACAGTAGGTACACTGCTCGGGTACATAGCCTTGAGAGAAGGACACAGTTACCTGATGTAATGCCTAAGCAAACCACCAGGGTTCATTACAATACTTGCTATTGGTATATATGTCTCATTTGACACGTTTTTGGCCCGCGCCATGACCCATTATTCGTCTTATACGCTTTTCTAATGTCGCGTTTTTCAACAGCTCCTACTACGATGTAGGGTGAACACGTTCAATTAGTAATCAGTGTATCAATTCACAAGTATGCCTATATTTTCATATTTCCATGCTACTGTACGCCGAATCACGCGATACTGGTATGATACTGTTGATGCACATTTACCATTTAGATAGTGTACATTCAGCACATGATGACTGTACCTTTTCACGTTCCACTTTGCTTTCAAATAATAAAGCGAACCAACGATGCATACAGTTACTTGTACTGTAGGTTGATAGCAAATTGGAGGGTTGGATTTTTATATATATATTTTTTATATTTTTTATATTTTTTATATATTTATATTTATATATTTATATATTATATTTTTCTTCTTCAAAAATGACTTGTCTGACATTCAGTGAAAGACCCGAGCTATGCTATTTTTAGCAGTTAATGGAGGACTATACACCCTTGGACCTAATTGGTTGACATGCGAAGCGAAACGACGACAATATACCACAAGTACCACGTGATGGTCACACCGCTCTTTTATGGGTGTCACGTGACCCAGCGATATGGGCTGCCTGGTGTGCCTGGTGTCTGTCGTCTCTTGGTTTGTGTTTTATGCCCGCCCAGCACCGTTCCGACACCCCCAGAGATCTTCCTCCTGCATATTTCATGTACTTTCGGGAGATGACCCAGACTAGTGTGGCACTACTACTACCTGTGACCACCACATCAGCTTTTTTACGCATCCAGCGACCACCATGAACGTTCCCGAAATCTTTGTGGATGGCGAGCAATCGTCACATTCACAACCGTCCAAGCGCCAATCGTTTTTGGGCTTTTTGGGTAAGACTAAAGAGCGTTTCCGAAGCCCTTCTCCAGGAGGCAGAAGCAGGGGGAATTCTCATTTGGACGTCAAAATGGAGTCGCTGGCAAGTTCATTTACCTGGACAGATGAAATTCCTTCACAGCCAAAGCTCGCCGAATTCCGTACCAAGATCAAGTGGGTCGAAAAGGCCCAGAAGGTGTTGGATGTTGAACAGAAATGTGAGTATGACGGGTACCGTGACCAGCCAGGTGGTTGTGATTGTTCTGTTTGCCAGAACTGACCAATACGGTCTTAGGGACAAACCTGATCTGCATTATAGGTGATACAAGCCATCCCATGCAACGCTCTTATCATATCCTAACTCAGATGACGCTAGGATAGCTATGGCAAGCCCCGTCTCATCCAGAGATCCGAGCCCAATCCGAAGCCGAAACCACAGCAACGCCACACCATCACCCCCTCCTCCTCCATTGGTTCTGTCTCGTGATCGAGAGCGAGAACGAGAACGAGAACGAGAACGAGAACGAGAACGAGAAAAAGAGCTCGCTGACCCATCACGTGATCCACGAATTGATCTGAGACCTGCTACGCACAAGACGCCTCCTTCATCTCCTCCCCAGGTGACTCTGTCTAGAAGCCCTGCTCGACATTCACGGTCTGAATGGGGTCATGTGAACCATGCCAATGAAAAAGGTCACCAACCACCGGAGCAAATGTCCCCCGGAAACGCCGCCTACATGAACAAGCACGCAAATCGAATTTCCAAAACCCCCGAGGCCTTTGATTTCGAAGAATTTGGAGCCAGTCTCGAGTCTCGTGAAAGTACCAGAGGAAACGAACTGCGACAAACCGTCTCTCGCGACTCCCATCTTAGACAGACACTATCCCGTGACTCTCAGCTCACGGCAGTGGACTTATCTCCCCAACAGCAGCGGCACTCTTTGTCGCAACCGCGAGAGATGTCCCCGCGACAACCATCACGAGACAACTTGTCACCACAACCATCACGAGAAAGAAGACTGAGTCTGCCACGCGATCGACGACCCACCAACCCGCGCGAAACCGAAGACTACTCCGCCACAATAAACTCTGTGACCAACTTGCAACAAGATGGAAAGTTGGAACAGGCTCACAATCTGATGGCAACAGTGGTGACCAGATCGGATTTGGGTTGGGTCTCTCAAAACAACGAGCCCGGTCATGTGACACCTCTTCTCACCCTGACTCTGATGTATGGTCTGTCTTTGAGACATGGCTGGGGTGGTGAGAAGGACGAGACTCGTGCGTTTCGGTACATCTGTGGAGCTGCAGTGGGACTATGTCATGTTTCACTGACTATGTTGAACAAGGACACGTCTGAGAGTGACAAGAAGACCCAGATGCTTCACCGGTCTGCTATGAAGACCGCTCTCTCTTCTCTCGCTCAATCTCTTTATGAACTGGGCAACTGCTACCATTATGGATGGGGGGTTACTCTTTGTTCTGCTGTTGCACAGATCTACTATGAATGTGGAGCATGGCTGGGAGACGAAGATGCTCAAGAACAGCGTGGTCGATTGTTGGGTGAATCTAACAAGTTCGAAGAAAAGAAACTCGGTGCCAACTGGTTGAGAGTGGCCCAAAGAAAGGAGGGACACTCCACGGCGGGAGAGAGTTGGGTCTGGAAGGAAAAGTATGATGAGTAACAATGAGAAAACTCACTACTGTGTGTTGTTTATGCTCTCATCGTCTCGTTCCACTAGTATTCATGCTGCAACGTGTGTCTAACTCTCAAGGTTATATATAAGATGATGCGATACTTTTTGATGTGTTTGATTAATATTGCAGCACTAATAGTAAGAACCACAACACGACCAAAAAGAATTGAAGCAACAGGGGACCTTTCCTGAGCACAGAATGTCTCCAACTGAGTGGCATCTAGCCAGCATCAATGATACACTAGGGTGAGCTACAATCGAAGACTAAGAACGTAAGAGCGAGCCCTAATCATTGAGCAAGTGAAGCTGACTGCTCGAATGAACCTCTTTATATGATACAACAAGTATCCTCAGTTCAGCCAGCGAACGAAGTACTGTACTTCCTTTGAACGCTGCCATGGACCACAAGAGACATGGGCTTGATCAATTGATACTGGCTTCCTATGGGTCATACTGTCTTGAGATCAGTTCGTAGGTCTTGCTTCTTAGTCGTGTGAGGTGTCACGACGGACTCACAGATCTATACACGCACAGCATCGAACGTAGACATAAGGAAATTATATCCCAAGTTGATTGAATATATAGCAAAGGAACGGAGAAAATACATGTAACATTGTTCTGCTCACCATTGTTAATAAAAGTCGTTTTGAAAGGCATATAACGAAGTTTGACAATCATAAGCAAGGGTAATTGAACAGTAAAGATATATAAAATAACTTGGGTATTATTTCATTCTAGGGAAATACATTTCAGCTACATGTAGTATATATAATGTATCGTTAAAGCAGATTTCTAATATTTTTTTAATATTTTTTAATTCTAAACACGCCGGAGAGACAGTACAGTTTTAGGGACAAAACGATCCAACGGTTTTTTTCACCAAGAAAACCTGGTTTCTTGGTCTAGTTGGTCATGGCATCTGCTTAACACGCAGAACGTCGGCAGTTCGATCCTGCCAGAAATCACTTTTTGCAGCTGCTACACAGGCTCTCGTCTGACGAGAGATCGTAAGACACACCTCACGTGACGTTGTCCTCCACCGTGGTGGACTACAAGTGACGAGGCTCTATTTTTCCTTCTTGGTTACGAAAAGAACTCAATGATTCTAAATAGGGGCATTTATCACGCTATTTTCGGGACTACCGCCTGCTACGAGTATGTACTTGTAGGATAGCCAATAAACTGACCTTAGTCATATGCTCAGGGATCTGAAACCGTTTCTGGACCTCTGCCATAACTGCCCGCTATCAAGCATGCGTATAGTTTGGAGATATCTGTACCAACGAGTAAGTAATATTGGTGCCCGTTTGGACAATAATGCCGCTACATTCCCATAGTGCGTTTGTCGCACCTGATATGCTTATCGATACGAGGTGACCCAATGCGGGTGAAACGAATACGACCACAAAATCCAATATCGCTAATGGTGACGCACTGCACTTGGGTGGGCTACTTTAGCCTGATGTTGCAATATTAGTTGTAGCATTCCCAGAAGCTTATCTGTCTTTCAGTCATGCTTAGATGAAGGTATAGTTCCCCCAACCAATGTTGTGTGTATGGAAGGCACTCATTTGTTTTTTTCGGCAAGGGGCGAGTTGGAACATATTCCAAAGAGAGGTAGCAATTAGTGGGATGGTTGCCCCTTTGCCCCTTTACCAGGCCGGTGTCTACCCTCAGCACTAGATATCCAGAATAATACACCGGCCCGAGACCCAGCGTGTGCGTGTGCGTGTGCGTGTGCGTGTGACGTCATATGCTACCGTGTCGTATCAGCTTTGAGACATTTCATCTGTATTGCATAACAATAGAGATTGCAACAGTTGCCTTGAATTAGACTATCATGTGATTGGCCTAAATATATCGTCGGTAGTGTACACATAACTGATTCTTGCTCCAATTAAAACCCAACTGCCTCTTGCTTCGAAAGAACTGTCCGTCGGGGGGGGAAGGGGAGGAGGTTGGTGAACCATGCTTCTCGCTTAATTTTCCTTTGTGTGCGATTTTGACTCTCTCGTGTTTGAACGGGTAGCCACCCCACCCCCCGTTCGTGTTCGCTTATGATTTTTACACCGGCAAATCTCTCCCAAAAGGCTATGAAACGTCGAAAAACGGCTTGACAGCAGCGATCATGGCTAGACCCCCCACGTTTCATACTTCAGGCTTGTGCCTGTTTTTTTCGGCTCTTTAAACTAGGTTGACGTCAGGGGTATGTGACAAAAAATGCAAAAATCTGCACACACGGAGTTCTAACTTCGCGGATGGAAACGGTGAAATGCCCTCTTAGTAGTATGGGATGGCACCAACGCGACCAGACCACCTTAACATGGTTCAGTCTGCGTATGTTGGTATCCACTCTAGTTTTGGGGTCGTCCATGTTCCATCCTCCAACCTAACGTTCCTGCAGAAGATAGGCTCTGTAAACCTCACAGATGCAAGTAAGCGCGGTTTAACTGGGCTGTGGGCCATGTTTAGGTGGGTATTTACATCACGTGAGTTATGACAACGTTCGGAGAAACCCCGGAGATAATTGGGCTCCATCAACCATATACATGTAGATATATTTCAGTCTTACAAAAACACACCCCATCTCACGTGACCCACACAGCTTACCAGCTACTCAAAAACACTGATGGGTTTGCACACGGCAGAAGCAAGGTTCCGCGGAAGTTTGTCCATTGAGGTTTCACGTTGTGTTGCACAGTTTTACTACACTCTGTACCCGTTACTGTATGTACTTACGAATGGTTAGTAATTTAAGGGGATCCACAGGAGAGAGAGAGAGAGAGAGAGAGAGAGAGAGAGAGAGAGAGAGAGAGAGAGAAGAAGTTGTCAATTATATCTACGCTAGAGAAGAGTAATGTCAGGCTGTGGTGTTTCTTTACCCCACTTGACTGTCATATTACACAGCTGTTATGTTTTCTGTCGTATCGGTTCGTATTTTTGCATATTTCGCCTAATTTTTGCCTAATTTTGTTTCTCGTCATCCTACTCGTTGCCACGGCTATACTTGCTCGTACTCGTAAAAAAAGGCGTTGACACATGCTAACCTTGTTTTTAGAGTTGGCGAAAGATGGTTATCTGAAGCGAGAGCGAAGTAATCACGAGTGGGCAAGAAACACAAAAAAACGCAAAAAGGAGCCAGCCAACGATTAACAACACCATGTTTGGCAGATGAGGCGCGATGGAAGTAACATTCCCGATCGTGCCTTCCCCTCCCCCCTCCCCCCCAGCAGATCTGACACATATCCGCTTACTCATCATCAATCATATATCGACCCGTACATATAGTGGAGACCCTTTCCATTGTGTATTGGATACGGCCAGTCGCAGTACAACATGATTAGCGTGGAACCATGGGACACACTATATTTGGGTCAAAGGACCCGTCTTTAACACGACCCTACATAACTCCCAGCCCACCACTGGTTGCATTTGTGTTGCATACGACAGCCGAAACCGTCACAAAAGCAAAAAGAGCATTATGTCACCACCCCTGTGATTGCAGGCTGGTGTTGGTGCGGATGAGGAGGTGGGCGAGGAAACATCCTTGAGCCGACACCGGTTGCTCACAAGGGCGGGCTATTGCTCCTCTACTTTTGAGGAGCCTTGGGACCCTTCTCCACCAAACAATATATTACCCTGCTCGGTTCTCCACGGTTTCGTACCAAGCACAAAATTTTACCCCCTTGCCCCGCTCTGCTGCCGTGTTTCATTTACAAGCGAGAGATTCTGGTTGACTTTTTCTTTTTTCTTTTCTTTTCGTTTTCGTTTTCGTTTTCGTTTTCGTTTTCTTTTTTTTTCGTTTCTTTCCTGCCGTCGTCGCTCTCGCTTCGTTTTTCGACCTGCCTCCGCCACCCTTGGTTTCGCTTCTCTCTGTGCTGTGTTGCACTTTTTTCTGTTGTCTTTTGCGTTTTGTGTTTTTGTGCTTTTTCCCTTGCCTTGTTTTTGCGATTCTCGTAACAAAGAAACAAACCGCTCTTTGTACACTTCTTCCAAGTCGCATTTAGCTTTTCATAATACCCCTTGTACGTTTGACTTTGGGCCTTGTGCGTTGGATACGAAGGTAGGATCTGAAGGTGGGGAGGATGGCGAAACGACGAAATGTGGCCATAGAAGAAAAAAAATGTCGAAACCATTGTGTGCACCGCGTTAAGGCGAGCATCCCCATGTACTTTTTTGCCCGCTTGGCCCTCTCAAAACCCACTCTTTACACACACCCCCCTGTCAGCTTAACCTACATGCTTGTACATGAATATATACTTGCTACACTGCTAACTCTTTCTTGTCATCATCATCATCACAATTGAATAGGAGACGAGAGACACGAGCCGCTAACGAGACTGCAATACCACAAGACCGTCCACCCAACGATATAGCGGCCAGCTTCAACACCACACTCAACCTTCGTTTAAACGTGACTCTACTACACAAATGTCCTCCACCAAACCACGCAAGTTCCACTCACGAAAGGCGCACAAGAAGTCACACTTGGGGTGTAAGACTTGCAAGAGACGACGAATTAAGTGCGATGAGAGACTGCCCAGCTGCTCACAATGCTCGCGCATCGACTCACCATGTCCATACCTAGACATGACTCCTCAAGAACTGACCTTCTTTCGAGAGGCCAAAGTCAAGAGCGATGCCACCAGCTTCATTAACATGCGCAGCATGAACCCCACGACCCAGGTGCCCATGCAAGGCTATGGCTATCCAGCTCCACCACCGCCTCACGGAGGACCGCCACCGGCAATGGGAATGCAACAACCAATGATGCCCATGGGCTATCCTCCCCAAGGGGTCCCTCCACCACAAATGCCTCTGCAACACATGCCTCCCATGGCACCCGCTCCCATGGCACAACCGTACTATGCAATGCAATACCCACCGCCCCCACAGCATATGTATGGTCACATGCCCATGCCACCCCAGACACAGATTCCACAGCAACATCCTGCAGCACAGCCACCACACCCGGGTCCTCCACCACCATCAACACATCTTTCTCCCCATCATTCGCCACACCAGTCTCATCACTCACCACACTCTCCGCATGCTCACAACGTTCCCAGCGCACCCCCACCTCCTACCAGTGCGCCACAAGGCCCCCACTCTTACCCAGGTGCATTCTCTGGCTCCCTGCCAAGCGTTCAGAATGGCACAACACTGCCACCGCTGGGAAGCTCTCCTCCTTTGAGCGCCGCCGGAAACTCCGGAGTGAAACTTGAGAATGGACATCAGGCCGATGGTGTGAAGACGGAAAACGCACAGCCCGTATCGCTGCCTCCCTTGACTTCTACATTGCCCCCGATTTCCGCTATCACCGACAGTGGTGGTTCTAACGACTCGTTTCAATTGCCACCTATCATCCAAGCCCACAACCCGAAACATGCGACTTTGCCACAAAAATTTGGGACCGGAAACACCGCCAGCATTGTAAAGCAGGGATTTGAGACCGACATGATGAGACACGCTTACGGTGCATGGATCTCCGACAGCATCAAGAACGCCGAGGACCACCCTGTTTTGTACCACTCTCTTTTAGCCTTCAGCCACGGCTATCTGTACCTCAAGAGCCACTCCAAGGTCCCTGATGAGAAAGCCAACACCGGTGGCATGACCCCCGAACAAATCCGTGACTTGTCGTCTCACCACCGGTCCAAGGCTCTCAGCATGATCCATACCTACACCGACAATCTGGGCTCCAACTCCGAACAGCTGCCAAACGCTTCAGATGCTCTTCTGGTAACCACTCTCATTTTGGCTTGGGACATATTTCTGCAGGAGGACGATATCAAGCCCTATATTGAGCTCAGCAAGGGTCTGGCTGCCGTTCTGCAGTCCCTCTCTCTCAACACCAGCCAGTCTCCCACCACTTTCTGCATGGCCGAGTCACTGTTTCAGAGCATCAAGTCCATCCATATTCCTCCTTACGAGTCAGGGTTCTGGCAGGAGTTTGTGAGTAAGTTTGCTTCAGTGAAGCACCAGATCAGCGACTCCACTCTGCTTCTCCAGTACGCCGAGGTTGAGGAGTTTCTCAATGAGGTCACCAACATGCTCAACAACCAACCCCGAAACTTCAACAACCCCACATCGTACCCTCCCCAGAAGCTGTATCAGTTCTTGCGACAGTGGCTTACAATTTTCCCCAGCCGAGCTCTGTCCGGTTTCCAGACGTGGAAGACCCACGACGAGAAGCTGCTCTACTCTTACTGCCACGCCGCTTCTCGAGCTCTAGATGCTCTGTTCCCTGAGGTGAGGTTCCTTTTCCAGATTGGATTCATCGGGCCTGTGGATCTGGTGGGACTCGACAACTCTCTCGAAGAAAGCCTGGGACCCAACACTGGCTCTACCAACCCTCTGACTTACCCTCTGCGAGTTGTGGGATTCTTCAAGATGCGAACTTCGCTTGCCTCTCGTATCTTGTTTGACGATGACCCCTTTGAGGGCTCTGATTCGCTGGTAGAGCGAAAGAAGAGCAGATTTGGAATGCTCAAGGAGATATTTGTCAACTCCTTTGAGAACCCCACCGTGCCCCAGTTCGACCATTACAAGTCCAACGGCGCCAACGAAGGTGAGAGCCCCGACTCTGTATCCGCCTCTAGTGTCACTGGTGGCAGTTCGTCTCCTCGAACTTCGGTGACTAGTATCAGTGGAGACGAAGGAATGGCCATGGCCGCCTCCACTGCCAACGCCGTGCCAGCTGCTGCCGGAGCTTCTTCCTGGAAGCAGACAGCTTTTGCCCGATATTTCGTGGATAGAATGGAAATCTTGGGCACCTAGTTCGGCAGAGTCTTGTTATAGACTCGAATATGTATATTTAAATAACAACAAGCAAATATTTCGCGGGTCGTAGCTACGCGTATGTACCAAGCCAGTACAAGTAGGAACCCGACAGTTGGAGAGAGCAAGCCACATGATAACAATAGCGTACAAGTACTTGTATCTGGTTTCAAGTTGCTTTGTTCATGTGCGTCTGTGTTCGTTTAAAGACGGATTGGGTAATAAAGTCCCCTGAGATGTATGTACAAGTATGTATTTTCGAGACAGCATCACAAAGCCATACTGTTTCACCATTGCGGAGTAGCTAAATTATATCCACCGGCACAAGTATCGTACCGGCGCTAGTAAAGGACACATTTGTTTATGGCCTGTCTCCACCTTCCCCAGAACAGTCACAAACCATGATGAACATACCATATCATGTTACTGAAGATCATGATCCAGAGTTTGTTTTGTACAGTAATTTGCGAGTGGCCTCAGGTCATGTACAGTACTTGTAGCGGATTGAGCCGATCAAATCGATACCCCTGAGGCACAGATATTGGCCCCATCTCCTTGAGGTCCCCCATCACCCCTCTGAAATTAATTTTTAAGCGCACAATGGGATTGAAATTCCTCAGTAATATCTGCATTGGTAATGTGCTACCCAAATGCAGTTTTTTTCCCCCACGGTAACAGATTTGCATGCTGTTTATTATCATTGGCTGTCGCATTTTTGCGACTGGTGCAGACCGCAATTGTGAAGCCTTGCTTGGTCGGACACAAACGGTTAGACTGGTTTTGGACACATTTACCTTCGGGCTTGGGGGCGTGTTTCGCAAACGCACTCTAAATGACGTCATGCGAGAGTTGTGACACAAGTAGCTACCACTGTACAAAGTAGTACGCTGTCCCGATGCGGCAGGTTTCAAAGGATATGGATGCAAAATATATCCAACAAGTGACAATATTGGGTGCTTCGTAAAGGCGCCACAGGGTGAACTTGCTGGATTCCCAGGGTATGAGCTGACCCCCCACTTTTTGTGAAAAACCCATTCCCCGTTTCTGTTAGAATTCAAGGGAAATGGTGAGCTCTCACTCTTTGTTGCATCTTTGATTTGCGGAAACCCTAATCTTATTATCTACTCGTAGTTCTGGCTTGGTTCCACCCTGTTGTCTGGAAACTAGCTTGCTGCAGCACACTCCTATAGCAACTATGCCCGCATGCAACGTGACCGTTGCGTCACCCAACAGTCCCCGTTGGAGGTTAAGTTGGGCTCATGGCTTGTAATAAATTGAATAAAATCGCTAAAATCGTAGAAAATCCTGATACAGGACATATATCATGGTAACAATATTTTGATGCCAAACACGAACCTATCCCAGTTTCTTCCTCGAGGGGAGCTGGGGGAGGAGGATGTTTCGGTCGGAGTTCTCCCAAGCTCTCTGTTCGTGTCAAAGTTCGTTCCACGTCTTCTTGCTTCCTTCGCTCGGCAACCATGTTACTCATTGTGGAATGTTAAAAAAATGACACACACTTGTATTTGAAAGGTTGCAGAACATTTGACGAGTCGCTAAAAAAAAATGGGTAGCTATATTTCACATTGTAAGAGACGATAATCCACTGGCGTGCTTCTAATTTTCTCGCTGTCAATTCCCCGAAACCGGCAGTTTACCCCTCTTTTTAGTTTCATAATATCCGTATTTTGGTCGTATTTGCGATGCGGTGCCTCGCGTATTTTGTCTAAACTGTGCTTGTGCGGGAGGTCCAAGCGCCAAGGGTAAGGGCTACCAAATAGGGTTCCGAAAGTCGTGCTAAGGGTACGTTTATAGGATACGTAAGGATGAATCTGGCTTACGCTGCCATGAGATGAATATATATGCTTTCTCGTCGGTGCTGGACACGTCGGTCCGGGTTTCTCAAATTCAATTTGCCAAAGAGGCGCAATGAACTCTGAACCCGCATCCGTCACATGAACCTTGTAAGCATGCAGACGCTCTTATAGTTGCTTGCATATGCTGCTTTGAAACAGGCAAACCCAATTGTTGCATGCGGGTGGATCCATGCGGTTCCTGCGTCAAGATGTCGTATTTCGTATTTGGGTGGGTCGTCCTAGAGTGCAAGTGGAGAGCGGAAACGATCAAGACTGGCTCTGCATAAAATGTCAAAGAAATTAAATGAGTGTAACCTAGGCCCATGTCAAAACGGAGGCTGAAAAATAGAATGTGTTCATATTCTGTTCAAACCAGAAATTAAGCGAGCAACCAAACACGTCGTATCAACACGTCAACGGAATGTTGTTTCAAAAGCTTCTTATATTTAGATTGACTTGCTTCAAATGCGGCATCGAGGCGACCAGAAAATAAATTCTCTTGAGGAGATCCAGTCACGTGTTTCCGCATCCAGATATGCGACGTCACGTTACAAGTACGAGTACAATACCTACGGTTTCGTCGACTACCACATCCGTTTAGAGCGAGCCAGGATTTGCGCCACCCCTGTAGTTATCGTCTCGTTCAATCGCGTTAACAGCGGTCACACCTTTACTGCAATCGATACAGCCACATAATACAACTCAATCCTCTAAACACACAGGCTTCGTTTGCGATAGGAAGGGTTTCACGTGACCGGCGAATAGATACTATACTATACACCTCATGATGACAAATGCAACTGTGTGAGTGATCCTCTCCTTGATCCTTGATTCCGGTTCAAATCTTAATCTGCCATGCGGTGAAACGGACCGACTCTGACGGCCCGTCATACCCACCGAATCCGTACAAAGGAAGGAGCCCACTTTTTTTTTTGTGCTTGTGTTTGAACTGAAGGGTGTTGCCATGGCTACCGTTTGTTGGGTACGTACTCGTATTCGTAACCATGTACCTTGTACTCATACAGATGTTTTACACTCTACGAGTACGATATTGCAGTGGTCTCGTGGATGGAGAAAAGAAAAAATAAGTCGCAGTACGACGACCGCATACGGCACGACTTTGTATTTACGGAAAATGACAATAAGAAAACTTTGGAACTTATGGAATTACTACAAGGCACAAGTAGCTGTAACGTTGGTCTTTGGAGAAAAAGATAATTATTCTAGAAAAGCTACAAGTACTTGTACAAGTACAATTCTGTAGTATAAGTAGTACCGGAACATATGTACCCGTACCGTATGTACCAGTACACTGTACTTGCATATGACGTATTCATACAGTAGATCGAAATCACATGAGAAAGCTCTACTTGTCACTGATCCTAAAAAATGTATCAGAAAAGAATGGCAACAGTTGTATACAGCAGTTACGCTCCCATCGTAATGCCTGTCCTGCTGTTGCTTTATGAGCCCCGCATGAGGAGAGCAAGACCCCATTGTTCCAAAACTGGAAAACCATGAAAATTGAGACTTATGTGTTGCTACTGGTACCGTTGGGTACCCTTCAAGTCATGGAACATTCGTGGAACACATCTTTCAGCACCCTTGTACCACCTCGTCGTTTTTCAATGTCACAAGCAGCGCAGAACATTAGGTGTAGTTGGTGGGAAATGTGTGTACATGTGTAACTTTTCTGATTAATCTTCAAGATGAATCAGAGGTGACTCAGATGTGACCAAGACTGCCGACGAAAGAGGGAACGAGAGAGACAAACTGTCAAAAGAAAGCAAGTGAACTCTTCTCCAAACATTTCCCCATCATTGCTGTGCAGCCATTGAGCTGCATCGGATTTTCGTAAACTCCGATCCCGTCGAACATAGAGGATGGAAGAAGAAAAAAAGGCGACGTAATTCCCCACCCACCCAGATAGACATCTATACATACAAACTGCTGCAGTATACTAATAGTGTCTTAGCAAGAATACCAGTAGGTTTTGGGGCTAAATGGGTTTGCTGCTTGTAGTCTACCAGCGGTGTTACTTCTACATCTTAGACCCTATGTTGGATCAATTGGCTTTAGAAACCCTCTAGATACACTCTTTTCCCTTCAAAACACATCAAGAGTGACGATGAAGACTACAGCAGGACTTCCTTGATGTCAACAGTGGTTACTCGTCATGCAACAGTGTCCGAGAAACTACTGGATTGAAAAAAATATAATACCATGATCCATACCGAAAGCAGTGATCTTTTAATTTTTATTTACTGCTCCGTTTAATATCTGCTCCCCTGTTACGTTGGCCATATTATTTGTTTTAGCGTTGTTTCACTGAACAAACAGGATGCGACGAAGTCCGAATGAAGAGTAAACTAGGAGTTCGGAAAAGCTCACGGGCTGGCAATCGGACTACCCTCTCACACACGAACAAGCCCAAGACGTCGTAAGGCCGTACGAACACCTACTACAAGTATTGTGATTGTCAGGTTAAGCAAGTTTAGTTCCCTTGAGTAACAGCCAACTGCATGAGAGGAGCTATTGTACCTATACATCTCGTATCTTCTATTGTGTCTTGTTATTAGTGCGATCGTTAGTGCATTTTCAGAGGCACAATACTACAAGACCCAAAATAGTCAAATTAGCATCCCTGAAATGCAGCTAAACAAGCGAGGACACTACTTGTAGTATCGTAAATCTGAGGGAAAGTACACTGTATTCTTGTTATGAACTGTAGGGTGTTGTTTTCGATGGGTGGATGATTGGTATTAACAGCAATGTACGAAAGTTTCGGTAATCGTTACTCTTGATAGGGTGCGGTTGCTACAAAAGAAAAGAGTGCGTTTTGACGAGCTTCCCAGGGAGGTTTGTCTGTGCCTGTGATCGTCGCCTTTCATGTATGCAAGGCTTGTGAATCGCTGTGCTCGTAAATTTATCTTTGCGCAGAGTCGGCTGCCGAAGTCAAACCATTAAGTTAGTCTTTCATTTCGCTAAAATTGAATCGAATCTGTCTGATTGCGATTGAACAAGGAGGCGTTATCATGCTCGAAACGGTGGGGAAGAAAGCTACAGCACAAGTAGTCCACGGTTTCACGGCAAGATGCATGTCCAATTCGTTAGACTGAATCAATAAATACGGTCTACAAGTAGCTA